TCTATTTCTAATGAATGAATGAATAATGAGATAGATTTAGAATAATTAAAATATTTTGATAAATATACTAATCAATAAAGAAAGAGTAAATATCGAATATTAATATTGGATAAATATGAAAGTTATAAATCGATATCTTTTCAATTATATTATAAATTAAATGATATTATATATATAAATTTATTATTGTATTTAAATTATTTAATTCAATTATTTGATGTTGAATATTTTAGTATATTTAAATATTTATATAGTTATCAAATTGATGAGTTTATTAAGATATATATCAACTATATTTTTAAGATTGAATTCTTTATAGTTTTCAAAGTTGTATATCAACAATTTATTACAATTCAGAATATAAAAGCTGGCTTTCGAGAAGTAGAATTAATATCATTTGATCCTCAAATTGTATTTTCAAAATTAGATATTCGAATTTGTATATTTATCCTTCTATCGATCCTTTTGAAATCTGCTAACTTTTAGGTCTCTCAAATACTTCATAATCCAATTGAAGCTTTTTTACAATCAACTTTAATGAAATCTCAAATTACTCAATATCAATTAAACTTTTCTATATCTATATTCGAAACTATAATTATATTAATTAAAGATACAAAACAATTAATTTATAAGAATATACTTTTAAATATAAAGATTATTAAAAGATTGGGTGGAAGAGGCCTCTATATTGACTATATTACTACGTCTGTAGGCATATTAATCTCCTCTTGGTATCCTCGGAGGGGACCAATATGCCTGCTTATGGTTCGTCTAATCTAGCCTGTTTAGGTAACCGTATTACTAATCACGACACGTGATTAGTACCGGTAACTTCTATTCCTTTTAACAAAGATTTATATACTTCAGAAGACAAATGAGATATTAAGCAAATATTAATATATTAAAAAAACTCAATTACATCAAGGAGAAGTACTTACTGATCAGGAAGCTATAGATATAATATTACAACAAAAGGTGAATATTCAGATTCGATACAACAAGCATCAAAATAGGGGAAATTCCAATAAGGAATCATCTATTAATCGATGCTGTAGTAAATGTGAAAAGACTGGTCACAATTCAAGAATTTATTCTAATAATATAATAGTGTCACGATTCACCATTAGGATTGATGGTGTTACGATGGTAGCAAACTGATTAATTAGGAGAGCTTAGGCCGTGTGCAAACACGATCAGATTTCGCGTGATAAGGAGTCTTGAGGAGCCAGAAAGCTTTTAGGGGCCCCCTTTATTGTTCAGTATATAGTCAGAGTAGTTTCATAGTTTAGGAGCTTGGTGCTCAACTTAGTTATCAATTAGTTTACCTACATTCTACTTGATCTAGTAACGACTTCACTTCCAAGTGAAGACTAGTGATAAAGCCTTAACCCACAACTACCAACCAGACGAAACCTCAGGCAGCCGCTGCCTCCGGTACAGTATCGTTACAAATAGACCCTAGATTATTAGATTCTTAATAGTTTAAATCAATTGATTCAATAATTGTTGATTAAAATAAGTTTAAAGTGGTTGAATAAGTGAAAAAGTGGCGACTCGCTGATAAACCACGTTATAAGAAAATAATCATATTATAAGATTATTATTAACAACTATACACATATCTCAAATGAAAGACCATTATTGCTTGAATAGAAAAAATTAAGTCATGGTAATTCCTTCATTTCAATTTCTCTGTCAAGTTTAAGCTGATGACAGCTTTCAATGACACAACATCTTAAATATTCAATTTGATTATACATAAGTGAATTTCAAGCCGTACTAAAGATTGATTCAGTTTGATAGTTCTTATATAAAAGCTGAACAATATATCATGTAAGTTCATTCTTTTACAAGACATCTTCACATCGGAATATCAAAGTCTGGTCATAATTATTGCAAAAATCAACTCGACTCCAATTATATTGAAACATGACCAATACTACATCGACCAGTATGACTGAAGCTATAAAGCAGCAGCTTTTCAGAGGAGGAATTTTAGAGTTCTGCACCTCTGAAATAGACCGCTTACTACCTTCTCGATTTTTGCGTGGAACTGGTTGGGTATTTTACGCTCTCTCAAATCTTACCATTCTATATGTAATTAAAACTATTCTGACATATCTTAGGGCTCCTTAGACTTGACCCCTTACGAATCAACAAATTGCAAGGCTGCCTTTGATAACCTTTATCTTGTCGCATGGGAGAATCGGGACGTTTCCTTATGTCAAATCGAAAATGAGTTGGGAATGATAGTGTCTGATTGGGCAGAGAAGAAGAAAGCTCCTGGTAAAGCTATTATGTGGGATGTTTTCCCGAAGGCTATGGTATTTGGTTGACAGGTACGGATGGGTGGCAGCATGGATGAACTTGAATGATATCGATGTTAGTAGGAAAGAGAGGAATCTCTTGATATTTTTAAAACTTAGGAATATTGGTGAGGCTTTGAGGAATCAAGAGAGAACATTTGATTTTCTTATTCTCTTCTAATAAATTAAAATGATTTGTACTCTATTACCGTTGCTCTCGCCCGCCACAAGCTCATTCGGCTCTTCAATATAGCTCTTCAACATAACTTCGACCGACTTAACAATGTTCTAGATGGTTTCGCAGTTGATTTTGAGGAACGTTTGTGCTTTTTTAGCTACTTCCCTTTTCATTCCACAATTCCAGGCTATGCCGATATATTGATTAACATTGTCGTACTTTATTTTGTTTGACGTAGGTTAGATATTAGTCATTAATACTTACCGAATAAGGTTGGGGACGGAGCTTGTACCACCAAATGACGTAATTGATGTTAGGATCTCAAAGCGATGTCGCCTCGCGTCGGAAAAAAAACGTTGACCTTGCCCCTTAAATCAAATTCGAATATTTCCGTTTAGGGGACCGAAGAAGCTTGAGGAGTCATTTAGCTTCTGATATATATCTTAAGACATATATCAGCTCTCACTAAGGAGGATTCGTGATAGCAGCTTCAGGCTATATATATACACCTAAGGGCATTTTAAGTATTTTAGAGAAAGCAAACAAATTGATAGTTGCAAAAGATCTCGCGATCACAGCGATTGCAACTAAAACGAGTTTATAAGTAAATTTTTGGGATTATTCTATTCTAGGTAAATACGTATATGCTCTAAGGAATGGAGAGCATGCATATGATAATTAAATAAACAAAAAAGGTCACAATGTCGCTGAAGAACTGATCAGAAAACAATGTTTACAAGTTCATGCCCCGTCTCCTGCGCTCCTCCGCTCCTCCGCTCCTCCTCTCCCCAAATCTCCTCCAGATCCTCCTCTCCTCCACTCTTCCCCTTCTCAAGATTTAGTACTCCCAGGCGGAAGGACCGGCGACAGTGTTTGGAACAGTGGCGACAGCAATACCGGTGCAGTTTCCAGTACCCTCTCCGTTGGGGGTAATGAAAACTTGGTACACACCAACTTCAGTGGCGCAAGCAACGAATCCGGATCCCTCGGTGCTGAAGGACAATGATCCCAAGTTGCTACCCTCGCCGGCAGTGTAGGTGAATCCAGAGACCTTTCCACCTCGGGTGTCGGCGGAGTGAGGAACGGTATAGGAAACAGCGTAGCTGTCTGCAAGGTAGACTTGTTGACCACCTGGAACCTCGGTGTTCAAGAAGAGAGTGTTGTCAGCTCCAGCGACAAATGATGTGTATTTTCCGTCTTTGTATTTGTCAGCTATATGATTGTTTGAACTCATGAGGTTAATACGTACCAGGGCAGCCCTCAGTCAGTGGGCAGTATGAAGAAGGTTCTTTTCCGATCCAGAGACCACCTTGGAAGGCGTTGATGGCTTGGTTTTGGAGGTTGGAGCCGGATCTGATGGAAATGAGGCCAAAGGCATCGCTTGCAGAGCGGGCAGCGACTGGGGATGCGACAGCGGAGCTGGCAAAGAGAGCGGCGATGAAGGTCTTGGAGAACATTTTGATTGTTGTTGATTGGTATTACTTTAAAAGTATAGAGTGAGTGAATTAAAAGATTGAGTGAATGTGTTTGATTGATGTGATGAGATGATGTGTTGATGATAGATTATTTTTGTGAACTTCCTCGACACTTATATATTCATGTCTCCTCTCCCTGTCGCCCCTTTCAATATACAGAACAACAGCCTTAAGCAATGACTTCATCGGGTTTGCAATGCCAGTAGCCGAAAAAATGGGGAGAATGCACGGTTACTTTCAAAAATTGGTGTGGGAGATGGTACCACCATTCTCCTTTCCACACGACTTTGCAATGCGGCTTGTACAAAATCAACCGGACCCCATCATTATGGAGTATATTGCTCGTATTGAAGACTTGGCACGGCTGTCTATACATGCATTGAATGCGGAAATCAAAATTTTGGAGCGGTTCCATGATTTAAAGTGGATTACTCCACACATGATGCAGAGAATGACAACGGTATTTTCATGCCCTATCAAATTCGATCCATTAAGGTGTTTTCTAGAAATTTAGATGGAACAAAAAGAAGAAGTCTAAATTTTCCCATCATGGTGAATTATTATGTACCGGTTGAACAGCCACCTCCTTGGATTCAAGAGGATTACTTTTCCTTTAACCGTAGCATAGCTTTATTTACTCATATCTGTATGCATCGTCGGTTAAAGTCACTGGGAAAATCTATACAACTTTCAGGTACAAAGGACAGATTTGTCATCTGTCAATTCGCCAGCGCCTTGAAAGGGGCTGAAGTTGCAAAACACTAAACCTAAATGTCGATCACCGATAAGGATCGACATTTTTCCTCGTATTTCTGGCTCGTGTTCTGAAAATAGATAACTTATGATTTATCCATCGTATTTATTCCATCATAAATTCATAACACCATCCAAAGTCATGCAATTATGACATGGCTATCCACAACGGGAACACACGGTACACCGAGGCTACCCACAATCCACTAGTGGGGTCAATGATATCGTAGCGTCCGAAGTTTTTGCCTTGCTCACGGTCCCAAAAGATCGAGCGGTGGCTTGTTCATCAATTATGACCGTTTCTAACGTTAGGTTGAAGACAGCTCCACGAGATTTACGAGTTGATGAGACAGGAGAACTTGAGAAAATGTCAAAAAAATCGGATATGACTAAAAGTTGACGAAGATTGACTCGTATTCCTGGTGTTGAACTCAGTACCATTGATGTCGGTGTAGCTGCACAGCAAAACTGAATTTGGGGATTTTAAGACTTGTCTTTTCTTTCGGTAACTCCGTGTTTGTTGTTTGATGAAGTTGCAGCATATGAACGATGATCCGGCAGTTCAAAACATTTACGAATTGCCACTTTTGATATTCCTTTCCACCAAACACCGAAAAGCTAAATGTGAAGAGAACTATGGTCTCGTATTGACATGCACATCGACAAAAGGGAGATATTTCGACCCTACAAGATAAGGTTAAATGATCTACAGGGCAAACCCGTATGGAATTGGGCAGAGTAGTTACAGAATTGCGGATATTGGATTTTTCCGTCAGGAACGCTCGACACATCTCCTCGGATTTCCTGCGGTATCATCTCGGACGCAAATACGGATTTCCATTATATTGTTCTGGGAAAAATTCGATCTTTCACGAACCGACGATCCAGTGATTCATCGACAATAATTCATTCTCTGTCCACAGCTTGATACTTCGTCCCATCTCGATTTGCCGATCTAAGTTTGAGCCGCTCTCCCCGCTGGTACTCAGGTCCTTCTAGTGTGTATTTATTTCTGGTACATTCTTAACAAAAACGAAACTACATTTCTATCAAGATGATCATTCCATAGGCAGTTTGTCTCTGTTCCCAGCAGAGGCTTCCAAGTCTTCGTAATTAGCCTATTCAGGAAGTATTCGGGAATTTGGGAGAAATATACTGCTATGTCCCATTGGCGAGCAAGTGACAATCTACTGGACTCAAAGCAGGATGTGCAAGTCAACGCACGCAGGTACTTTGAATAGAACGAAAAAGCTACAACGCATAAAATCTGGATCAAAACCAAGCGGCATGCAACTCAATAGACATACTTCCAATCACTGTATGTTTTTCTCCGGGGATACAATGGATGCACTATTTCAACGAAGACCATAACATCTCTACACCTTTGCTTCTGATGGGACTATATCAGAGTAGGTAGATATTGGTAAGTGGTTGAGAAATAACTGGGTGAGCGAGGTAAGACTACGACGAAAGGGACACTGAAATATTACACTTCCAGCATTATATTGAAATATATAGTCTAAACTAAAGAGTCCTGCCACGTACGACCATAGACTGAGGAGAATTGGGCATCCCGTCCGCTCTGCCATACACAAGCCTCAGATCGGTAGATTAGTAGTTGGGTGGGTGACCACCAGCGAATCCTTACTGTTGTATGTTCTCGCTTTTGTTTTTGTCATTCATGATTCATGATTTATGGGGAGAAGGAAGGGCAATGATTCAACCTTTTTCACTTTTGGTTAGTGGATACTTCAACAACAGGATTGACTTCATTAGTGCATGATCATCGATAACCTCATGAACAATGAATCCACCACCATTTCAATTTATGTGTAATTTAGGATGGAGATGATAGGGCCGCTACTCGGCTGGCTTTCCTAGGCCTTTGTTACGTTATGCAAATCTAATATCAAGGACATTCTCGAAACCTAAGCGATGTATGTGGTATAAATTGTACTAGCTCTCCTTCCCTTTCATCCGATTTACTTTACACACTTGCAAGAACCTATATCGCGGAGTCTCTAGCTTTCAGCAGAACCATGAAAAGGCAGGTAGGAATGTAAGCAGACGTCTAATCAGAGCAAAATGCCAACAAACCTTCTCGACTACGTGGATACAGTAAAGTACACGGAGTTCCGAGTACGTGCATTAGTCAGTCGGAGACTTTATGGGTTCTGATATTGACCCATACAAGCCAGCGCAAGCACTTGTGGCATTTAGACTCTATGCAAGTAGTAACGGGCTTGGTATTATACGAATCGAAGTTTATCAAATTAGACAAACATAGTGAGAGTAAAGTAAATTGTGCCGGAACCAAGAATGTAAGATACCAAACGCTGCTGCGAAGATAGTCCCATCATGGACTGGTGAATTGAATTGCATTCCCATTCTAAACAAACCCGAATCTGGAATCATCCGAGGTTGATTGTTTGGTTAATGCTCTAAGAAGCTCTTTCTGCTCATATGATTCTGTTGTGATCTAGTTAGAATGAGGGAGTTTATCGTAGAGTCGGCGTAGATTCGGCGTACTATATATTAGGACACCTTCACATCTCGGGCGTGCTGAAACTTGGAGTGACTTCATACATTTTTTAATTCTCAGACGAAGATAATTCTTCTGATGGGTTGGAAAGCTTCAACAATCACAGAATGAACAGGTTCATTATATGGATTTGGTGGATAAACGGTTGTTGGTATGGCTAAAGGGCTAAAGCTTATCACAAATGGCGACGATGCAACCACCCTAACTCAAGCACAGCAGGAACAAGCCGCTGAAGAAAGAATTACTTGGCCGGAGATTGGTTGTATTGGGACATCTTAGAGGATCTTTAGAAGCCCTCATTGTAATCTTACCTCATCAGAAGCAAGCCCTAGTAAACAAATGTTGGCAATGAATATACATTATTAGGCCTCTCTGGCAATATCTTGAAGTCGGTTAAATATACCATGATTTGGTTATGTTAATTGACTGTTCTGTCTGCAATTCAAATCTAATGCTTATCGAACAAACTCCCGGAAAATCCTTGATCATTTTAGTCCCCATCAAACGAAAATATCCTTATCTCCACTTCGACTTTACATCCAAAGCCTGTAGTATCAAAAGTAAATCCTTCCACTTCGTCCCGATACACAACCCTTTTTTTTGCCAAACTTCCTCACAAATTTAAGCTGAATATACTTAGAATCGTCAAACTCCATCTGTTGACAGCAGAACCTCCCGTCTGGGAATAAAATGGTCCTTATAGCCAATTTGACTTCCCAATGATTCAATTTTCTCCCACCATTTGGGTTCGAGTTCCTCGGCGTATCATCCCAATAATCCTTATCTCTACACATTAGAGACCACGCCGATTTCCGCCTCTTCGAGGAAGAATATTGTTTTAATGCCATAGGGACGTTGCTAAGGGATAGCCCTATGAATAGCGGCTATCAATTAACCTCATTCAGTTGGAACGAATAGATGGAGGCCTTGGTATGTAATGTATGGCTCAACACATCACAAATCGAAGGATGTACTGGGCTTGAATTCAATAACATGAAGTCTATATTTCAGTTCTTCCAATAATTGCAAGGTTTAGATCTTCATCATAGTCTATCCTCCGTAAAAATTCGATCCCGACGATTTGAACCTCGCCTTAAATTCAAGTCAAAGTGCTAGTTTAATGGTGATTACCATAATGACGACTCTTGAGAATTATCGTAATTAAATGCCCAACCCAACGCATCTCCGAAATTGTATTGAGCATTTGTCATCTAACAGTATCATAAGCAACTGCGTCGCATGATAGAAAATTATCTTCTCAACTTACCATGAAATCCCAATCCTCCATCAAATCTGGTGGAGTCGCTAGCGACGTCTTGCTCAATTCATCCGGCTGATTTTGATCTTGAGCTGCCATCTTCTCCAGAACTACTACGCATTCTTCCACTGCTTGTTCCGCAGCGCTCACTATCAATGCTGCAAGTTTCTCACCACAGTGACCTTGTCGTACGGCATCAAGATATGCAATGCCTATGCAGATAAACAAATATCCTTTCACGTTCACTTCTCCAGCCTCAATGCATCTCATATTCCATATTTTGGTATTGTTTAGGGCATGCAGAAGGTCTGGGCGTAAGGTAACAGGCCCCAGGCTTGTTTCTTCTTGGAGCTGGGTCTTGAGTTCCATGGCTATTATGAAACCTGATTGTATTGCAATTGTACGCAAGAAACCTGAGCCACAGATCGTGAGCCGCCGTAGGTAATGTTGATCAGTTACGGCTGTTCCCTTCTGGGGTTGCGAGTCACTGGTTGACATGAGTGGATATAATAGATACCAAAGTTTGAGCGAAGTCTCCAGAACCACCTTTCTGGAAAATGAATAAGCGGGACCCTGCAGTGCTGACACAAAAAATGGGATGTGAAGGGATGAGAGGTGTCTTAGCATTATGACATTCAAAATATCTATACCAAACTGGGATGGCAAAAGTCCATTAGTTGAGTCAAATCTTTCAATGTCCTGACACATGGTCTTGTAGGATGATTTTAGCTCCGAATCAAGACTGATGGCTTCCTCCAATGTAATAGGCGTACTGGCATTGTTCAATGACTTTACAATTGCGAGGCGAAGTGGAAGGGTCTTGCGAAGTATAATTGCGAGAGACGTGTGACTAAACTCAGTCTGTGGTCGAGGTATAGCATCAGCGATCAAAAGTTCATCGTCGTCGAAATTCGCAGGAGGTTCGGTGTCCCAATCAGTAAGTGATATGAGCGGAGGTCCGCCGGAATCCATGCTTGAGAACAACATCAACTCTAATATCGTATTCCATATTCTTCGACGCATCTCAGCAGCAAATATAGTCTTCTTTGGAAGAGAAGCGGGGTCTTTATGAAGTCCCATGTATACTGCATTTCTGAATAATGAGCCCGCTGAAACCCAAATCAATCTTCCACCAATAGCGGCCATTTCTCGAGCGAACAGGAGTAAAATCTCCGTCTGTAATGATTTTATAGTCAATCGTGACTTGAATTCTGGTTCCGAAATCCAAGTCTGCGCCTCATACACCCATCGGACAGCCGAACTACGGAGGGAGAATTGATCATCATACGTGGCAGCACCAATTGCGAATATCAACTTGAGCTGAACCAAGAACTCGATATCAGGTTTTCCTGTCGACGACCAGATTGCTTCATAACTCTTCCTAAACGTAGGAATATGTAGTACTCTGTGAATAGTTTCAATTGTTTGAATGTAACAGTCAACAAGAGTGTCAGCAATTTCCCTTGAAGGCAAATCCGGCCAAGTCGGTGGTGAGGGCCATGACGGCGCCCGTCGGGTTTTTATAAGTTTCCCTAAAGTTTTACATTTGTGTATTCCAACAGCAGCTTTAGAGCCTTCTTGTATACACGGCTCGATTATCTCAAAAAAATCATGATACTGTTGATTGGTCAGTAAGTCCCTAATCGTCATTGACTAATTGAGGTAAGGTAATGGCTTACTCCGGTAACTGCATTAATCCAATGGCTTCGGCCCAGCAGTCGAGTTTTGTGTAAAACTCCATAAGTTACGGCCACGGGATGATCCACACTGAATGGCCGACTTTCTTTATGTACGTGGAAGGTCCCAGCAAGTGAAGATTTTTTCTCTCTGTTAGAAATTATGGAGCTTGCAGGAGAGAGGGCAGGATGTGGACGAGCAGTGGATGTAACAGAAGGTCTAGTCGCAATCGAAAGCTGATCTTCAAGTTCCTTTATCCTTCGTTTCATAGACTCGACATCACTAGTTAAATCTGTGTTTGGTGTAGTATATAGACCTGTTAATGACAATGGCATCGAATCGTTTAACGAAGGTGATACGGGACATATTGGAATACCAGGAGTTAAGCTTGCGTCTCTTTCGGAAGTTGGCCCGATTGGAAGCTGATGGTTTTGTCTCTGACCTGGAGCTTGTCGAAGCTCATTAAGTTGAGCTTGAGCTTGAGCTTGAGTTCTGGAAGGCGTAGGAAATTTGTCGTAGACACAATTGGCTGCGATACTTGATCTTACACAATTGCTACATGGGACTTCTCGATTGCATTTGATTTTGCGTCTTCTACAGAAAGAGCACGAACTGCATCCCTTTGCTTATCAGCCCAGTACATTTAGCCGCGAAAAGGAAAGTGGCTTGAACGTACACAGCAGGTCTTCTCCGTCGACGTTCATGATCTGGTTCCGAGTCCGTCATGATAATATCCGCCACTAATCCTAAATTCGCATTTATAGAAATAAGAAAGCACCGCGTTACTTGATGTCAATCACGCTTTCACAATGAAATACAAGAAAATAAGGAGCATCTCCCAACGAAAAGCGGAAAATTCACTTGATATCTAATCCGTCTTTGCACTTTTGGCCTAAACTTTTGTCCATTCTCCGAGACAAGCCAAAGCCATCTATCATTCAATTGGCTGAAATCTCCGCTCACGTGACACAATGCTGGAAATATCTCCGTGGATTTATCATCCTCAGCATGCTTACCAATAGGCAGGTAGCAGTAGCTAACTGCTCGTTGACATCAACATGTCGCCTTTTCATTATAAGATGGGTAACTTCTCTTTTTTTTTCTCTTCGTTCTTTTCGCGAAATCTGTCTATACTCCAGCCCTCTATGGGTCGGTTATCAAGACAAAAAACCACACAATCAACGCTCCAAGGGCTGCAGATGTGAGTGACCAAGGGTTTGTCAATCTCAACTTAAGAGCTTCAATGTTTTCAGTCTGTTAAAACGACTCCTCGTACGAGTTACAGATAAATGGAATCTCGAATCTCCATCGTTCAAGTATTCATTGAGTGGACATTCTTTTCAATTTCCGTTTACCATTCCATTTGAAATTTTAATTCTTCTCAAACACACTCGGTGGATCGGATGGATCAGTGCACGGATTAGCACGGAGTAACAAAGCCAAATATCTGGGGCATTTTGAGGTGCTTCAGCCACCGGTAGAGTAAGGAATCCTCACAAAAAGATTTCTTGCGTGAAATAACCTCGATTTAAAAATATCTTTAACTTTCATACCCGGTAGCAACAGCTTCACTGTGCCCAATTATTCACATGAGAACTCAGGTGTAGTCACAAGTTGCTTCATCATTCTACCCCAGTCGTTGGCTTTCGATCTCGTTTCATTTTTTGTTAGATATAAGGTTACATAATAATCAGGTCTAAGTTCTTGTCGGTTGAATGCAATCGGCGTTGCCAATTAATCCGACATTTCTACATCTCCACATGATGATCCGTGTTTGGATATTTATATGTTGTCAACTTACCCTTCTTGGCCACGTTCCCGAGGATAAAAAGGTTCTGGAACCCAATGTAGAGTGCCTAAGTATGATAATCTGGGGTGCATGCTGTACGAATTTAGCCAAATTCCGGTACTGCCGTGTCGGATATCAGCCTCAATAGCTAATGCCCTGCTAGAACTATGTGGTTGATCGAGAACTTATATCTGTCTCTTATATACTACGGATCGTCTGAACATTAAGTTCCATTTATGCATTCCCCTCTCTATTCTACTCTTTTGGGTTCGCATAACTCTTAGCCTGAAATCTCAAGATGGACCAGGCGATCCACATGACTACTCGGTCCGGCTGTCAGAACAAAATTGCGGGTTAGAATCAACATGGATATTGGATATAGCACTGGGATGATGAGTATTGAGATCAAATTGGACGACAAAATTAAAGTTGATGGGTAATATGCATCGGCGGAAGGGAGACTGTGCCATTGCGAATGGTATGTTCAGCGGTCTACAAATACAGCAGTAACCGCACTTGACATTAATCTCTAAAGTTTCATTTGAAGTATCAGTAACCACTATAGCTAGTATTCACAACGACCTCCTCGTGGCACCTTAATCCACCCAATCTTCAAAATGTTCTCACAAACGGTACTCAAAGCAGTTTTCCTCTCTCTCCTTACCTATGCTTCAGCACTCCCTTCGGAACTGGACACTCGTGCAACTTGTCCTGACATCCACGTCTTTGGTGCTAGAGAGACCACGGCACCAGCTGGATTTGGAACTGCGGGTGTGGTCGTCAACCTAATTCTCTCCGCACACCCTGGCGCAACTTCAGAAGCTATCGTTTACCCAGCATGTGGTGGTCAATCTTCGTGTGGTGGAGTCAGCTATGCAAATAGTGTTATTCAAGGTGTGGCTGCTGTTGCTTCTGCAGTAAATAAATTCAACACAGACTGTCCAAGTACCAAGCTGGTTTTGGTAGGGTATTCTCAGGTATGTTTAATTTTCTAGCTGTCAAGTTGAGCTTCTATTAGTTACGTGTAGATCTGTTACACTAACTCGCAAATAAGGGTGGCCAAATCATGGATAATGCATTTTGTGGAGGTGGAGATAGTAACGAAGGACTTACGAACACGGCAATTCCAATCCAAGCTAGTGCAGTTAATATGATTAAAGCTGCAATCTTCATGGGTGATCCAAGATATATCTATGGACTTCCTTATGAAGTTGGTACCTGCAGAGCCCAAGGAGTAAGTCCTCTAGTTCATATTTCCTGTCTTAACTATATTTATCACATACCATACACACTTCTGAGTGTTTATGAACCGTTTTTTAACAACCTTCTAGTTTGCTCCCCGCCCGTCCGGATTTTCTTGCCCCTCCGCCTCAAAAATAAAGTCTTATTGTGATGCCGCCGATCCATACTGTTGCAATGGTTCCGACGCCAATACCCATCAAGGATACGGCACTGAATATGGTCAACAAGCTCTGACTTTCGTGAATGCCCAACTCGCCTCGTCCGGTACGTCCCCTACGTCCCCATCCACTACTCCATCTAGCCCTGGCACCACCACTACTATTACCTCCCCCGGATCCACTGGAGTTGCGCATTGGGGTCAATGTGGTGGAAATGGATATACTGGGAGTACAACTTGTGCTAGCCCGTATACGTGCACTTACGCAAATGCTTATTATGCGCAATGTCTTTAGGTTAATTTTCCTCCTTCCTTTCTTTCTTCTTCTCTTTTTTGATTGGCAATGAAACGAAAGTGGATGGTACAGACGAAACGAAACGAAATGGTCCGAAATCTACATCTCAAAATTCTCCTCATACTCTACCATGTATATAGGAACGCAATCTGAATCTTTTACCTCATGATCTGCATGATTTTGTTCCAACCTTCCAAAATTATGGGATGATGTTTTGAAGTTCAAAAGCAGTGTGTTGAAGCAGCCACAGATAAACAAACCGGAAGGATGGTTGGATGGATCACTTTCGTTTGTGGCTGCTTTGGTTTTGTTTTTGGGAGATCTATTATTCTTTTTCCACATCACCCAACTGGAAGAAGTAGAATGGAAAATAATTTCGTCATACTTGTAGGCTCATAGATATGACCCTCCGATCTTCATCCTGCGCTATGGTTGAAGCAAGACACGTACGCCAGAGTATCCAGACCTTCAACAAACGTTTTTGGTTGGAAAATTCACTGAGTCCATAGATGAAATGATGATTTGCTGTACAACTAGACCTATGAGAGATCGAATGCCTTACTCCCTACTTCCAGTAATGACTCATAATTATTAACACCACCTCTGAACTTAGCATCGTCAGCCAACCAGTGACTTCAAAACCCCGTCAGCAGCCCTCCGTCCAAAAACAACACATTCCAACAATGAACTACCACCCAATCTATTATCCCCATGAATTCCCCCCGTAACCTCACCTGCCGCCCAAACTCCTGGAATTACCTTCTTTTCCGTATTTAAAACTCTCGATTCCTCATCAATCCTTACACCACCCATTGTGAAGTGAATTGCCGGCGTAACTCTTCCAACGTATATTACTGAATCAGACTTTACCTCACCTAACTTCCAATATCCAAAGGTTTTCCTCCCAAAATCATCTGTGACTTTTTTCGCCGCCGCATCTGCATACCTCTGCAAAGTATCTACTGCCTCGTCTCCTAAGTTTGCTTCAGAAATGGTACCGTTCTTCATCAAGCCCTTCCACAAATAAAAGTCTACATGAGATTTAGTCTTCTCGTATATCCCCTCATCAATCACGAGCTTAACATCCCACTGTCTCGGCTTTCCCTTTTCCCTTTTCATTTCCTCATACTCCATGATCTTCTCTGTTACAACCTTTCTCGTGTCCAATTCATCTACAAATCTCCTCCCACCCATCAGAAGTATACCTCCCTCACCTCTTAACATCTCCGCCGCGAGAAATTTCGTCGGGCTATTGATATCTTTAGTATCCAAAAATGCGGTAGGATGAACTTGCACTTTCTCCATATCAATAAGTTCAGCTCCAATATCTGTGAGGAGCTTTTGAGACCCTGAGCGCGGGTCATTGGTAGAGGGGAATCCGGATAAATCCGGTCGGTATTGTGCTAGCATTCCATATGCATCGCCTGCGAAGCCACCAGTAGCGAAGATTAGAGGGCCTATTAATTTTTCGGTTTTGGGTGGTACATTTTGATCCTCGTAGATACACTCCACACCCATCACCGCTTCGTTCTTAGCATCCTGTAGTACTTTAACCACTTTACACGAAGTCTTAAGACGAAACCTATCGTTCCCTTTCAATTCTTCCAGAAGCGTTCCTACAATTGCGGCACCAGGTGGTTTAGACTTTCCTCCTCCTCTATGCGTTCTCGCAATAGTATGTCCCCCCAATTGAGCGACCACACTAAAATCCACACCCTTGGCTCCCAACCACTCAACTGCCCCTTTAGACTCCTCGCTCAGTAACCTAATTAAGCGCTCCCTTGCATTCCTCTCCTCGCCATCACCACTATTACTCCGCATAACTTCTCCAGCCGATTTCACCGAATCATCATAAAACCTCTCCACGCTATCTTCTACAGGAGGGTTTGATGCAAGTTGAAACAATGTATTTGCACCGTTTATCCCAGATGATGCTTTTATACTGTTTCCCCCAGTCCTAGCTGCTTGTTCAAGAAGATGGACTTGGATATCTCCATCCTGTGAAAGAAGTTGAGAGGAGGCAGCCAAACCAGCAAGACCAGATCCAATTACTATTGCTATTTTATTATTGTTATTAGAAGATGAGGAGAGCATGTTGAAGTCAGTCGGTAGCGGCTTGGAAATAGGCAGGAGATATTTCAGGAGCAGAGAAGTTACAATTATGAAGAAGATAGTGGGAAGTAGATGGAATTTGTAGTTCCACATTGGGTGATAAAACTAGTTAACAAGTATGGATGTCGACATTGTAATAAGTTGACGGCCTTGTATCGATGAGCAAGATATCAGGCCATTTTTTCTTGTCATACGATCTATGAAGCATGTGCAATCGGATGATTCATCCATGTATTTGTTGAATTGTATGAGCTGATTCGAGTAACCAGAAATGAATAGGAAAAGAGTATGATACCTTCGACATCTTCCTTGTCCCCGAAAATCATCATAATTGAAGAAAACTTTGGTTTTATTGATGAAAGTGCGGAGCAATAAAGAACATGTGACTAGCAGTTTGGATGGCTAAAATTGAGGATTATGACATGAGACAAGCCATTTGATGAGTTGGTGTGTGACAACGTTACGATGGGAATTAGGCATGGTGTATGCTTGTACCAAAATGATTTTACAAACAAGTTCAGACATAAACATAGAACACACTCATTGCGACCTCGCTCAATACGGGAAGCCACTCGGGCCATTCAGAAAACTAGCGGAAGATATGGTAAAAATCCATGGGTCCTTCATCCTACATAATATGTTCATTCTCATTTCAATGACCCAAACCTGACATACCTCGATATCGATCACTGTTCCACAGGTCCATCTAGTCTCCGAGGTGATTTTCTGGGACGGGAAACTGTTATGTCGTTACAGAGCTGGTAGGTATGCTCCCGGTTTCCTCTGTGAGCCTGGCATGCATCAACTCCTCCCTTGGACATTATACATATCCATCCAGTACCCAACCAATCCACATTCAGCCATAAACTATTCGTCCACTAGTCTCCGAGAATGTACAATCTTAAATATGAATATAGAAAAGCTCCATATGTGAGCATCTTTCAACGCCATTATTTCCAAACCCAAACCCTAGAACTATATCCAAGACCCCTTATGATATCGTAACAACCGCTAAATGGACAAGATTGGAGAATGGCTTATGATCAAAATGGGATATATGCCTTGAGACGGAGATGTGAGGAGTGAGGAGTGAGGAGTGAGGAGTGAGGAGTGAGGAGTGAGGAGTGAGGAGTGAGGATTGAGGATTGAAGATTGAGGAGGTAGCTTGTGTGGCATTCTTTTTCGAATTTCGGCTCGTGAATTAAGGCAAGAGTATTTGAAAGAGATTTTTCTTTGTTTGTTTGGTCGACTGTGAGAAAGTTACACAGGAATACCAGGACCTTCCTTCCTGGTTCCCGTATTGATCAATGCGGCTACACCGATCATGATGAGAACTGCAATGATACAGATAAGGACGATTACGAGGGTCTGAAGCATTTTTGCTAAATTTCGAAGATTCGTTGATGTATAAATAAAGTAAAGAGCGATGATGGAATTCGAAGTAGGTTCGTTTAATTCGATTCTAGTATTCTTAAGATGCTTTTTGATTTCTTGAAATGATCGTGGAAGAAAATGTTCTAGATATGAATGTTAGTAAACGAATGCTGCTCATATTGACCTTAAAAGCTTGGAGTATCTATCACCCCGCTCCACGAAGAATCAATCAACTGGGACCACAAAAATAATTGGAATATCAAAGAGTCGTTGATGCTCTATATGGACTTACCAAACTAACAATCAATTGTCCAAACACAAATTGGGTTTTGGTATCTAGTCTGATATTGCTGAAATGAATGAGAACGATAGAAAAGACGGAACAGATGGAAAAGATGGAAAGATCGAATAGATGAAAAAGATGAACTTTGTATTAATTTGCGCAGATCCTTAGGAGGGTGTCCACGAATACTTATTGTACCTATCAACTGCCAATAGTATTGACCTGCTGGGTTTAGTTCATCTAATACCCGCGGACCGAGTCTAATACGAGGGTGTGGCTTGCTGTTAGAGTAAGGAGGCTCATCAAACTCTCGAGAAGCTTTTTTATAAATAGAGTTCGATTAGATATGGCAATCGTTGACAATCTATGTATGTGTGTACCCCACGGAACAAAATATGGTACCTAGATTAGTGCAGAAGTTAGCAATAGTTAGCAATAGGTCATATATTAGATGGAGAAGTGAAGTTCCAAAGAGATTTCTCTAGCGTATGGAAAGTATATCTTCTAAGGATGTTCGAATACGTGATATCCTCAACCAACCAACCAACCAATCGTAGGTTTGTATGGCAATGCATTGCATCAATAGGGACTATTTCAAATCGGCAAAGTTTGTGGCGATGCACCGAGCGGAAAAAGAAAAGAACAAAACATAAACTCGAGGGTTTTTAACGAATTGGACGCGTTGATTCGTTAGACACATCACATTTTCAGTTGCTCTCTTCAAGGTAGTTACCATATAGCGTTAAAGCAACTTTAGATATCGGTATGGATGCTACATAAGGTTTTGATTTGTTATGTTACGGACTATAGTGGTGTGTTTTCTTACGGACAAGGGATCTTCTGGTAAACAAACGGAGTCAATCGGGGTAAATAAGAATTCCGTCACTCTTTCCGGAATTTCCGGTATAATTTTGGAAATGTTGTGTATGTTCGGGAATCTTCTTGCTTTTACTTTGAAAAGCATCAAGGTCGAAGTTTCAGAGATGAGTGATGTGATGTCACTTTGAGACAATAATGAAAGAAGGCGAATCAAATTGTTGGTTATTTTTGGAGTCGCGAGTACTCTGTAAAGCATGGAGTGGCATTAAGGCGCAAGAATGCTGATCGATAAAGATCGTTAAAGTCCAAAATTGCTGTATATTTTAGCATAATGACTAGGAAGAAATCCTCGTCCTTCAACTCTTATTTCTTGTGGCTGTGTATAGGTACATGGAATAAAAGTTCTGGGGTATTATGGTAGCGCCATGCGAGGTCTACGTGTTTGTAAGAGCGCTTAAATCACTGCAACCCTCCAAAACACTCAAGTTTCCAAAAGATCTCACGAGCTGGATTACAATTTTGAAACTAGAGCTAATTTTTGTTTCTGATTGAAGGTTTACAAATCAACCCTACAGTTTGAGCTCAAGGAACTCTCCAGACACTCGATCATAGAACGGTTTAGATCCAATACATTTAAGCAGCACAAATGAAGGGGTAACCTTGAAGAAGCGGGAAAACAGTTGGCCCTTCCACATATTCACATGTTTACCCTCAAAGTCTCCGGCTAGTCCAGATGATAAATCAAGTTCAATAAAGTAATTGATGATTGCGAATGTAAGATCTTATCAATCGCGAAGATTCTTATTCAATTTGTGTTACAGGTTAGGACATAAACACAATACTACAATATTTCTTCACCTCTCACGTACCGCAGTCCTCTTTCTATATTCTCCTCCTTCGTTTTTGTCAAAACCCCAAGTCTTGTCTACTCTCCAAGCTCGTCAAATTTAACCTTTGAACAGTCTTTCTATACTTTGTATTGATAAGGTTGATTTCCGGCGCAGTGTTCAATACGCACAAGAAATCTTCACCAAGCCTCGCACCCAAACCACCCGGTCCGCTGTCATACTGCTGAATTCCCTTCTTGATAATCTCGGTCTTTGCATTCACGACTGTGGTGTTAGATTTGTCTCCATTCACCAAGTAAATATTTTGGCTATTCGGTCTATATTCAGCCAAGCAGATGGCATCCTCTCCAGCTATAGTGATCGGCACATCTTTCGTTACAGAAAAGGATGACAAAATGGAAATGATAGGGGCACCAATTGCAAGACTCGAGCCAGCAAGTCGATGATCAAGACCGGGGAAACTGATACCAAAGGCTACATGGACTTGGGAGGTTGGAAGATGGTAGATGTAGTGAAAATACTCCTGCCAATTTTGAAGACAGGATAGGCAATGAAGAGCCCGTAAGAACAGGACTTCCTTTTACAGGACTGGAAGGGTCGTTGAAGAGATTGAAAGGAATGTCTGAGACTATACCAGCAGGGCGGATGAGTGTGGTGCGCTACAAGGTCGGTGAATTGGCTGAAAAGCAAGGACGAGTGATGCGTACTGATTTAGTTGAATGGCTCGAAGAGGCCCAGTGGATGATAATCCTTTGCTATGACTGGAGATGCACCCGCTATTGCCCCTCCATTTGGTACAAAGGTTTCGAAGTTAGTAACGGTTGGCCTTTCGGATAACTATTGTATCAAAAAAATGGCTACGACTCACTAGTCTTCAGTCTTAACGAAAACGCCACGGCGAATGGGAATTCTCCTGTAGCATCAACGGCCACTCATGCACGAGATTTTGATAACAACCTTTCGCGGCTTTTTCTCCACTGGGCAATGGACATCAGTCCAAGAACAATAACCAGACTTAGAACTCAGCTAATACTCGGATAGGTTTAAACCGATTAATTTGGTCGTTTGCCAAATCAAAACACACAAGCTGCAAAGGTTCGGGCTGGTATTGCCTTAGCCAGCTGTTTGAAGACAATATATATGCTGAGAACTCTATCATATACAAATAATTCTAATCTAATTCCATCCCAATCTCTGGATATGAGTAATTGCATAATTGCTTCCCTCTCGAGTATATGCAGCAATATCTTCTTCCTCAAATCATGAGTCCCTTCACTTTCGGCTCATCTATTCCATTTTCCCATGTATTTTCCGCTGCTTGCCCTTCCTCCCAATTTGATGACCCTCCACGGACTCCAGCAAATGCCCTAGTTCTTATTCAAAATTGATCACATCCACTACCCAAAAATCAAAAGCCCCAACCCAACAACCGCAACGACTACTCCCACACATCCTAAAACCTCCACAACCAATCGCAACTTTCCCTTTCTCCGTCCCTCGTCACTAACCATCTTCCAATAGCTCGACCCGGATTCGTTTCCCATTCTAACTCCTGCAATCACCCCATCGAAATCTTCTCTTTCGCCCTCACTCAATAATCCTTCTTCCATTATCCTCCTTTCATTTTCATCATGTGTGTCTTTCTTGTTCCTGCGGATATTGTAATTCGAGGAGTAATAATTCGTAAATGACGGTTTTGGGAAGCTTTTCCACCAAGCGACTGTAGGGAAGAAAGTTGGGCGGGTAGCAGAATGTTTTGTAGTGATTTTTGGGATGTTGGGTGTGTCGGGAATGGATATTGAGAGGGCGCCTGTTGGCATTGTTGTCTCCTTCTAAATTGTGAGATTATCTCCAATGTGTTGGGTTGATTGAATGGTTGAGAATACGCTGACGTCAATTGGATATCTTTCTATGCTGTTTGAAGATGTGATCAACAAATAGCTCAGATTGCTGGGAAGATTCAGATCGAGGATTAGATGGAAAAGGAAATGAGGAAAGACATCTTCGCAATTGAGAATGGAGCATTGTATCTTTGTTAACATTTGGTGTTTATACCGAATTCGGTGCACAATACACAACAGCGCTCCCGAATGCTTGGGTGAATAGGAAGATGGGGACGTTTTGCGGAAGCATCTTGGGAGTATTTCTCTTTGTGTTCGGAGAATTTAACATGCGTGCGGGGGAAATGTTCTTGAAGTTTTCTAGAGGAATGAGGATAAATGTTTCTTTGTCCTCCATAACAAGCATTCCACAATTTGCTTGCGAAAAATAGCCAAAGGTATCAAGTCTAAAAAAAAAAAAAAAGTGATAGATCCGCTCGTCTAGTCCGTCTAATAATTCAAGAGATATGGTCCCCACGACAACTATGCCGTTATTGGTTTGTGTCCGTTGCCAGATCTGGACCACTCTTCCCTCTTTTCTTCCAAATATTCACCCTTTTCTATCCATCTAGTTTCCAACCACTTTGCCAATCCTGCATCACTTTCTGGCAATTCCTCTAACAAAAATCGCTTAACTTCAACATGGAATTTATATCCCCGTTTCCCACTCAAGTCATCGCAGCTAAGAGATTCCCAAATAGTTGGTGCTTCATGCCATTTATTATGATGCGAATATGCGATTGTCATATCATAAACGGCTTTAACATGTTTGGCTTTCCTCAAATGCTGAACAGTTGTTACAAAGCCTTTGGTTCGTGGGTACAAAAGATGTTTTGGAAGGGGTCGATTATTCTCTTTGCACCATGTTTTCGCTTCTTCGTATTTCTTAGGGGTATATCGTGTTGCTTCACTAAAGCTTATGAGCCCTACGTGATAGATAATTTAGCACTTCTGGGATATCTCAAGTAGGGCCGGTGAGTCTGCATAGCTTACATTGGGGCCATTTTTTCACCACCACTCCTGCAAAAACTCGATCCAACTCTTTCTTATCCTTCAGCCAATTTCGACTAACCATCGGCATGCCCATTCCCCAAATTCCCCATCCAAGTAAGGGGACCCATCGGAGTTCGATCTTCGCAAACCATCTACACCTTCCAAGCATACCAGCTCGGATAGCAAGTGCTTGAATCATGTAAAAGTCTGTCCAACTGACATGATTCGCAATGACGATAGCAGTTTCATTTTCCGGGAGAGTGTCGCCAGAAATGGTAATCTTGCCTCCATTGAATACTTCGAAAATGACTTGTACCCAGTTCCAGTTCGTAAATGCAATGAATGATGACGCATTGTAAACCCAGTTAGGGAATAAATAGCTGACGGGTATGAAAAAAGAGATCATCAGGTCCATTAGGACCAATTCGAGGACCCATGGTAATACAATAATAAATCCACGAATGCTCGTGTATAAAACATCGAGACTCATCGTGCTTATCTTGAAAGTTCACACAAAAGAAATGAGGGGCGGGCAACAATATTAGAAGAGAAATTCAAATCTAGCTATCTAGCTCCTTCCCTACCTGCTTACTCATGGAAATATGGATCTCAACACACGGGCATCGTTATCAGCCAAGCGTTGCACAAATCTATTCCACAACCTCGGATAAGGATGTATGAAAAGATAGAGAATTGATGAATCGGGCAGTGACGAGGAAAATGAGAATAGCAAACTTACGAGCTTGATGATTTTGTCACAGTGAATTTATCGTCAAACTCCTGGAAAAAGGAGTTTAACCTAAGGTTGCGAATAGCTTCAATTTTCCACTTTTCGACCACTTTACATAAGCCCTGCTAAAAATCCTGTGTAACTCGCAATGATCAAACCTCATTTTTTGATATTCAAACACCTGTGCCAGGATTTACCTCACGTTCTCGAGTGATATGAAGTGGCGAACTCGAGAGCAAAGAGTCTGTATGTACAGAGACTCGGATTAATCTTCAGCAAGTGGAATATGATTTGGAGGGTACAATAAGTACATAGAACAAGCTACCGGAGACTCCGCAATTCACCAGCGACCACAGATTAAGTTTTGAGTGGAATCTATAGCTCATGAATAACGTGGGTATCTACAAAATCTCCTCAATGCAGATACATGGTCATTTCATTGTTTATCAGATGTTGGAGCTTCTTAACAAGCATAGCTTCAAAACTGCGTTCAGGCTAAACCATATCAATTCGGTAGCATCCATTAGCTTCAATAGTTTTCAACGGCGGAATGGCAATCACCGGGGCAAGGAAGCCGGGACCTTCCAGTCATACTCCACCACTCCGTAGTACTAGATTCACATATCGATTGTATCTTCAAATTTCGAATTCACACCAATGGTCATCTAAGTATTTCTACTCAAGTATTGCTCTGCTTTCACATCAATCTTTATCATCCCTAAACTTTCAGCCCTGTCGGTATAAATTGGATGATCTCTACTGTATATGCTCATAGCTTGCAGCCGAATACAACCTCATGATCGGTATACCGATATCCTGTAGAGCGAGGAAGCAAAGCATCCTCCTACCACACATCTAGTAGGTAAAGAGCCAAGATGGTGCAGTTCTAAACCAAAGTTGGCCAGACCTTCAGCACTGTCCAACTGCTAATAAAAGTGGATGGGACATTGGAAAATCCTCTGTCCTTGTGTAAGCGACTGTTCCCAGCTGTGCCTTTCCAATCTCACGAGTCTGTGCGCCGCTGCCGTTTCCGTATTCGTACTTTAATTACTGAATGAATTGTTAAAAGTCTCCAGAACCTCAATTATTTTCAAGAGAGGAATTAGTTGTGCGGTTCAATCTTCATAGACACTTTATGAACAATTTTCTATGTAGTTTCTCTGTCATTATCACAGCGGAGACACATTCTGTTTTATCCGAGCTCGCCGATCAGGTCAATCATTGAACGCAGCTTTGAAACCTAAGATTACATTGCCCCGCGCATTATCTACACATCTATCAAAGTACGAAATAAAGATTGAAACTGTTGTCTAATCCGCGGTTAATTGGATTCCATAATTGTTCAATCAAAAGAACATCACTTCGTTAGGTATGTCACGCTCTAATCGATCAATATCCAACATACGCCCCCTTCATCGCTTCTCTGAACTCGCCCTAAGACAAAACCGCTGATAAGATAGGCACATCCTGTAGCTCATCTCTAATTTTATCATATTACGCCAAGATGACCTCTCCATCTCCCGAAAATTTTGATTATACAAATAGATCAGACAGAGGTGATTATGCCAGTGAGCAATCGGAAGGAGCAAGATCTCCTCTGTCAATGAGTTTGGGGTTCCTTAAAACTCTCACGGAGAGGAAGTCTACGCGGGGTACGAACATGAAGATTTATGGCAATTCATTCAAATTCAAGGCTAAAATACCAGAACAGTTGATGGTTCAACACCGAAAAGAAGAGGACCAAAGCCCGACAGTAAACCGGCGTTAACAAGAAGGCAAGAATTAAATCGACAAGCTCAGAGGTATGTTGATATAGGCAACTCAAGCAATTTGAGTTAGAACCCTACTAAAATCGCCTAGAACACACCGAGAGCGCAAAGAACTATATATCAAAGCCCTGGAGCAAGAAGTTTTGCGATTAAAAGAAAACTTTAGCAACGTAACTCAAAGTAAACAGTCCCTCGCAGAAGAAAATCGACAACTGAAACAACTTCTTGCACAACATGGCATACAGTGGGATGGCAGCGGAGGATTCGACGACTTCACAAATACCCAAAGTCTAGGATTTAGATCGAGTGATAGTCCCGACAGCTATGTACCGACTTCGTCATCGACATTCAGTCCTCCACCTCTAAGCCACTCATCGAACTCGAATCCAAATAGTATGAATTACGATACAGAATCACCTCAAATAGGAGGAGCGAACGGGGTTTACAACGGAAATGATCGTAGCATGGCTCAACAACAAGTTCGAGGTGTGGATTATGATCAAGCAGGCATTGACTTCGTTTTAACGTATGGCAAAGATTCCTCCAACGCGTACTTGTCGCCTCCGACACAATAGCTAACGCCAGCATTCTGATATCAGACTCGAGAGACCATGCATGGATCACATGCAGTTCCTAGTTGAACGATCAAGCGATGTTGATGGAGAATTTTTTTCAGGCCATGCTTTGATGGCTACTTGTCCACCAGAATCTGATATGGATATGCATCCACATATACCTTTTGGCCATTGCATGCCGCATAATCATAATCATGAAACGGATGGAACGGATGGAGGTCCCCCGAAACAAAAGACCTGGGACTTAAGCAAGAGCGATTTAGCTAATCTACTGGATTTGAGTAAGAGGTTAGATTTGAATGGAGAGATTACCCCGGTTATGGCATGGGGTATGGTGTTGGCGCATCCAAGATTTTTAGAATTGAAAGAAGAAGATTTTAAGTGCATGAGTGCGGAGTTGCTACCTAAAGTTAGATGTTATGGGTACGTTTGAGCCTTTCCACTCCTTGTATGAGGTCTAAATGAGCTAACGGGAATAGTTTTGGGGCTGCACTCGAGGAATTCGAAGTGCGGGATGCTTTGGAAGCTCTGTTTGGAGCAGAACTAGTTCACATGTCTTCGATCTAAAATATCCTCATTTTGAAAGTCTAGTAGGGTATGTTTGGGAAGAGCGGTTTTAAGATAGCGATAGAAAGCGGCGCAATGCCAAAATGATTGATGTGTAATGACTCGGGAAGCACATCCCAACGTGGTTTACAGTAACTCGGGAGAAAACATAGATACCTGTTTTGCTACTATAATAAAATTAGATTGACCTTCACATGTAATGGCTTCGCTATTTTGTGTCGTGACTTTCAGCGCCTTGTAATTAATGAGTTAGGTCTTAATGCTATCTATTATTTTCATTCGTAAAGATAACATGCAAATAGGACATAGTTAAATGGAATAATTGAGTGAGTTGACAGTTGTAAAATATATATACTAATAAAATTTCTAAAGTAGTAACATCTCACAAAATCGCAACCCCGTTCGGTGGACTCGCTACTCCTCCTGGTACCTGTCATTTGTTGGCATTAGTATCAACTTCGACTTCAATGTCCGTCTTCAATACATCACTCAACAAAGAAAACCCCAGTACGCGAGTACTCAAGTAGTGAAAGAGGTTACTGGATGGTTCGTAACTAACCTTCAAAGGAACACTGCTAAAGAAGAACGTCCACTTCTTGTATCTTCTACACTCCTCCCCTAATCTCTCCAAGTCAAATAGCTCACCCATTGGCATTCCCCAACCGGCTATTACCAGATCGATAAGTTAGTGATTTGATTTTCAAGACAAGATTCTTCAAGAAGCGAGCTCAATTGGAAATGAAATATGCAAATGGAGTTTTTGACACGGAGATATAATGGATATCAGGTTAGGTTAAATTTATGGATATTTACATACCTAGTAGCCATTCGTGCATCCAGTGTTGATTTTTCAGGTCGAAAGGAAGAGATTCAAAAGCAGTCTGGTCGCCGGCGACGGCGGAAAACTCTTTCTCCCAAAGCCATTCAAGGACTTCCTTGCAGGCTTCGAGGCCTATGGCTGTCATTTGGGGGGCGGTAGCAAGGGCACTGGCATCAGAGGGGCTGAGTGCTTCAACTAAAGAAAGTGACGAAGGTGTTAGTCTTTTTACGGATGTAAATGCTGCCAAGAATCACTCTATCAAACTATGAAAAGAACTCACAAGCACGAAGGTACCCAGTACGAATGAAGAGGATATCTCCAGGACGGAAGGTGACATTTTGGGCTTTGGCCACTGCTTTGATCTCTGAAAGAGGTATTTTGGTGGTTGTCAGAGGAGAAAGAGTCCGACCTTGGGACTCTACCCAGTGAGCGTAGTCGAGGAGAACACCGCGGCCCACTATGCCGCCGTTTTCTACCCAAACTGTAGGTAGCTGTTAGATATCTGAAGGTGGTAGGGAAGAAACTAAGGATTATAGAATGATGCACTTACCGTTGATTCCGTTTCGGGTTGAGTTATGAATTTCTTCTTGCGTGCAACCATTGAAGTAAGTCTTATGATCTTGATATCCTATCCGGGTGTCCCATTAGTCGACTGTTGATTGCCTGAAATATTTTAGACGAACCAAAATGTCTGAATCCATCCCACTGACTACTACACTGCGTATTCAACACTAGCTCATCATCGTTAACACTTCTTGGACTTTTATGTATAATCTTCTGTTTAAACGGCACACGTCCGAAGCAAGGGACTTTCGGTTTATCTAAAGCCCAATCAGTGGAGATTCGGATGCCGTGTTTTATCTCCTTGGCGGCTTCAATGGTGTTTTCGGGGGTGAGGCGATTGAGACATCCGAGTTCATCAGAGGGGCCGTAAAGACCCCATGCGTTGCCGCGAGGACCAGTGGATTGGAGCGGGAGGGAGGAGAATGGTGGTGTTGGGGGTAAGGAAGAGGAGGTCATTTTGGGTGGTGGATTAGCTGTGGATGGTCCTCGATTCTATCTATCAATACGAAATATTGGAGCATATATGAAATATAGTCATTGATAAATATATTATATAGAAGCGTGACGTGGGATCGACGACTGTGAACTAATGGGGTAAGTGGGGTAAGTGGGGGTCAAAGAGGGGTACCGGATGTGATTTTATTCACATCTTCTAAGGATCACTAGATATTTTGTAAAGGTTTCAATGTACTCATATCTCAAATTGTCTCCTACTTTCTTCGGATATGACAAATCCTGTTTTCCGTGGTTTCCGGTACCCCAGTACATGAAGCCTGGAAAAGATTAATAGATGATTGGTCAATGGGCCTATTCGAGTGTTCGGTTTACTTACAAACCGATTGACGAGATGAGCAATAGACAATTGTTTGCTCAAAACATAATTCAAATATCAACTGTGGAAGTGGTATTTGCTTGACGGATAGTTCATGCGGGACCTCTCATCTTTTGACCCAGGTTATCAAAAGCTCAGGAACCCACTTTCTTTTTAAATACTACCATTTCCTCGAACGTTTATGATGGAAGAATAAATAGTCGCTCGCTTCCAATCGACTTCCTTGAACGACTCAAATAGCTGCTCGGTCAGCCAATCCACACCTTTCACCTTTTATCATTCGTCCTAGATACTACAGGTAGAAGAAAAATGTTTCGAAAGGGCTTTTTTCGCCTACTTGAGCTGTTAGACAATTAAACTTCGAAAGACGTTCATGCGGAGTCCTGGTTTCGACGAATTGCGCAGCTACTAAATGACTTGGTCTATCAAATCACATCATTAGTAACCATTGTTCACAGATACTAAGGGAGAAAGGAGCTGCGTAGATGACGTTAGATGACAATATCGTAATGATAATGGCGTCTTCCACTTTTCTCAACTGCCACACACGACTTGGAAAGTGATGTTAATCTAGATGTTGTAAGATGAGAAGGGGGCAATTTATTGATTTCTGCTTCCTTTACAAAAGAGAAAGAGCTGTTCGAGAGAAGTTGATGGTTTTATATGTATGGAGAGATACGCTCGGCTCTGTGGAAAACGGTTGTTTATAAGATGGGTTAACTAAACCCTAAAGCCGAAAATCACTTTGAAAGTGTGTCTCGTTGGGCGGTGTTGCTGAAACGGCTGAGCTTGTGGGAAGTTGTATGACTAAAGAAGTTTCAAGCCTACCAGTAATAACGACGACGAGGAGTTTTGGATACTATGGCTCTCATTCGATTCTTTTGCTTATAAAATTAGTGCTAGGATAGGCTCGAAATAGAAAGAATCGTCCGCACCTAAAAGCGACTAGCTACTTATACTTCATAATATTTACAGACCTTTTTGCTATCCGACGACGATTAGACTTCTCAATCGACATGAAGGAGTTGACCTTATGTGCTACTACTAACCTCGAAATAACTTCAGACCGCCTCGATTTCCAAGTCATATTTTAGGATCGAGGAATGAGAGCAGATTAAAATACTGATTGGTTGTCTCGGATATCTAAACTTCCGAGCTCCACCGGAACGGAAGTTACATTCTCCCGGGTGCAGCATTCTACCTAACAACTACCTCCTTGTCCCATGATTTATATCTAATTTTCTTTTCTTCCTATTTAGAAAAGTTTATATATATATATACATTATATATACACATATGTATATATCTATATATCTATCATCCCAAGAATGGTAGAATCTACGGAAACGGAACGAACAGGTCCCTACGGACGAGCATGTATCAGCTGTGCCCGTGCCAAAACTAAATGTAACTTTGGTAGTGACCATAGAATTTGTGAGAGGTATCTCCATCATAACACACAACGTTTCCTCTTTTTCCGTAAACTGATTTGTCTAGATGTGCTCGGCTCAAAAGGGCGTGTAACCCGGCTCCCGTGAAACGGAGACAAAAGCCACGAATAACTGCAGAACGACTTGAACAAAGATTAGATGGGCTCGTATCTCTACTAAGGACCATTTCACCAAATAATCCTACAGTTGAGAATGCCCTAAATGATATCACAATTCGTACTTCTGGCAATAATGCACCAGCCTTCCGTCCGGTGGGAGACTCAGATGAGACCGCATCTATTGGCCAGGGTGCCGCTCATTTCCCTCCAACCCCAGCTTCAATCACAACGACGCCATATCCATATACGCTACCAGTGGGCGCGGAACCAACAATAGAAGAAGCAGAAAGATATTTCCAATCCTTCTGTACTAGGAATCTTCCTCATTTTCCATTCATACAGTTTCGAGATGGCATGACTGCCTATCAGCTGCGTCAAGCACGCCCGTTCTTTTGGTTATGCATTATGACAATGTCATCAACTGTAATTGATCGGCAAATTACACTTGGCAAAGTGATTCGAGAAATAGCAGCTCGTGAGCTTGTTGTTGAGGGGAAAAGGAATTTAGACCTCTTGCTAGGCTTAGTTTGTTTTGTCGGATGGTACGCTCTTTTGATTTCAATGCTGGATTCGGGTTACTTATTTTAATTCTAGGGGACAATATCAAATACGAACGGCACCATTCATGACTTTATTCTCTAATCTCATTATCACACTGGTACTTGATTTGGAACTCCACAAGCCTACTACCGAAGAAGCATCTCACATCCTAGGGGTGGAACATGAAACTCGTCATCAAGAAACGATGGATGTACCTGTGAATCGGACCATGGAACACCGTCGCTTAGTTATAGCTTGTTATTACCTAACTTCAGCGTATGTGCAAACCTTTACTCTCTTCCCGTCGTATGATCATCTTGGTCGATGCTAATATTGATATAGTCTATCAACTTTCCATAAGAAACTAGAGAGCGTAGTCTGGTGTCCTTATCTAGATAAATGCCTATCAACAATAGCAGAAAGTAAAGATCCATCTGATCAGCTTTTAGTATGCCAGGTTCGACTCCAAAACGTTGTGCGTAGAACAACTGAAGCATATATACACCTCATTCGCGATGGCACGCCAAGCAAACCTGGTGTTTCCAACCTTATCATGCTCTATATCCAAACTCTCAGATCACAATTAGCTGAGGTCAAAAACAAGATACCGTCACAATTGGCTTGCAACAGTATGTAAACTTTTATGGTAACTATTACACTTTTGGAACTATTTAATAACAATCTTCCAGGGGCGTTGAGTCTACAAATCTTCGGCACGGAAGTGATGATCGACGAACTTGCCATCCATCTTCCTAACTCATCAGAATCTACATCCTTGGAGTCCTCACTTTCTCGAATCGAGTCTCTCCATCGTTGTCTTAACTCCATAAAATCTTGGTTTGACATTCTACTCAGCTCGTCAGCTTCATATTACATAGGATTACCACTTCCAATATGGAAACAGTTCGGAGGCGTTTTTTTCCCTTTATATCGTCTTACGGTATTGAAAGATCCTGCTTGGGATACCAATATGGTCAGGGAAACTTGTTCACCTGGGCGCGTCTTAGATTTGTTAGGTCAAAACTTGAGAGATGCTGAAGTCGAAGCTGCATGGGAGAAGAATGATAGCGATGCTGAAAGTATCTTCACGTGTTCAGAAAAGGTCATGAAGATGTTGAAAGCATGGGTCGATCGTCTACCGGGATTCAATGCACCAAATGCTGATATTTCTAATCCCATCCATAACTTTCAAGACAAACAACTACAGCCAATTCCCGAGACAGATCAAATGGCTTGTATGTCAGCCTTTATGCCATTAGAGATGGAAGATGTTTGGTCACAAGATTTTATGGGATTGTGGGATCTATATTCCAACACTTGATGATATTTCTCATCGGTTTCTGTGGGATATGAATACATAATGCACATTCTTGGTGCAGCAAGAACGCACAGGTACTGATAATGATAATCAACTCCATTCTACATTACATGATTTGCATCTTAGCGACTCACTCAAACGATCTATATCATGCTGACATTATTTCTGGTATGAGATGCATGATTACCCCCACATATACATGAATCCTTCGGAGAGCCCGAACCAAGATGACTCCACTCGGGTGTTCTAGGTTACACGAACCCCGCGTCCAACCCACAATCATACAATATTTGATGTCATGTTAGAAGTATATCATAGGCCTCGAACTCTAGTTTTGCTCTAGCTCTATAAACTTCAACTCAATTAATTACTTCTTGAGAGCTCCATTTTCAGACAGCATCAAAAGAAAAAGTCCGTATAAACGCGAGGCCGATGTGATAACATTGTCCGGTAGAGTGGGGTTATAGTTTACGTATATATTCGTTAGTATATCCTTGAGATTTAAAGCCACCATAACTTTCCTCGAAACCTTTGAACTCTATCAACTAAAATGGCGTCTCCAAACTTCTCAACAAGAACCCACACCACAAGCCGCTCCTTCACCTACTCATACATCCACATTGAACCCTCGACCCCTTCAAAACCCTACATACTCTTCCTCCATGGCTTTCCCTCCTCCTCTCACGACTGGCGCCATCAAATCACCTACCTATCCTCCAAATGCTACGGAATCATCGCTCCAGATCTACTCGGATATGGAGGCACCTCCAAGCCCTTCTCAATCGAATCTTACAAATTCAAAGACATGGCTTCCGATTTACACGAAATCCTCTCCTTACACTCCATTTCCGCATCTCACAAAGTGTTAGGTGTAGGACATGATTGGGGAAGTTCGATGCTCTCACGGATGGTAAATTATTATCCGGAATTGTTTGAGAAATTAGTATTCTTAGACATAGGATATCAGGCACCTGGTGGACCGGGATTTAATTCCGACTTGGTGAGGATGATTAATGCGCAAATTAAAGAGATGGCTGGATATGAAGTTTTTGGATATTTTTTGTTCATGGATGAGGAAGGGAGTGCGGAGTTAATGGATAAGAATGTACGGTTTTTTGATTCCCGTGTCTGGTCGTGATGAAGATGAGTTGCTAATATAATAGTGATATAGCCCGAGTCCGTCATGTCACTGTTTTATAGCCTAGACAGTGATCTAGGGAAGGAAAACTTAGGAGCTACAGGAGGTTTTCGTAAATGGCTTGACGGGAGTATGATAGCTCCTTACCCAGCTTTTGTCAAAGACGAGGTGAGTAGTTATTTCCGTATCATGATTTGAGGATCAAAGATGTATGCGCATCTACTGACAGGCTATCTCACAACTAGGACGTAGCGAGTTTTAAAGCCTTATTCTCACCTGAGAACGAAGGATTTGGTGCTGCGAAAAACTGGTACACAGCACAATTACACGGCATCAATGTAGCAGATGACCAAGGTAGTCTCCTATTTCTTCTTATTCCTTCCCCAACCCGCAACACACCCCAACCCCACAGGAACTAACCACCTCTTCCAGCCATCCCCAAAGAAAAAGCCATTCTTCACCAACCAACCCTCCTCGTAACATCTACCAATTACGCTAGCTTAAGCGCGAATTTTGCTTCGCAAATGAAACCGTATGTATCGAATTTGAGGGTTGAGAATTGGGAAGCTGGCCATTGGATTCAACTTGAGAAGAGTGAGGAGACAAATGTGTTGTTGGGGGAATTTTTTGAGGGTTGATGGGTAGGAAGTGGGTATGGTGGATTGGGCTGCGTGGAGTGATTTAAGTTTGATACCGTCGATCAAGTAGGCGGCAAAGTAGTAAAGTATGCTATAAGAAGCTTGAATGAAATGTGGGATGATATTACTCCTGATATCATCTGTTTTAATGAGTCTTTCCAATAACCTCCCTCGGCTCATGTTGCGCGGAGGGAAGAGTCCCTGTCACAGAACATTCCCATGTTTTCATCCCATCACATCCACCAGGTGATCTCACCAATCTGATCTCTCAAAATCATCTAATGACAAACAAGCCAAGGTATATTTTCTTTCTTGCTTTCTTCTCCTTCCTTCCTCCATTTCGTCTTACTAGAAATCAAAATTAAATCTAAAAGTAACTGAAGCTAACACAGTCCACTGGTGTTGCTAAAACTGATACTATATATATATACATGGATATTGATTAATTCGCTTGCTCGTTCGCTCCGGAGACTACATTATTAAGACGTAAAAAATCCATGTGTACAAGCAACGGGGTATGGTTCGTGCTATTAATGATATAAGTTGGTAGAGGCCAGTATTGATCCCTTAGTCGGGGTATTTGCGTATCGTTGTATCAAGTGGTGTGCGGCTGTGGTTTTGGCTGTGACGGGAAGTGTTGCGAGATGTCTTATCCAGCTCCTCCAAACTTCCATATATGAGCAGTGACTTTGATGTATTGGGGTTGCGCCCCTTCACTGCTTTCTTTCAGTCCCTTCCTCACACGTTGGTATCCTAACTTTCCCTTGTCGAATTTCGCTATATTGATTGATTGATTGATTGATTAAATTAAAGTCTACACTGAGTCTATGACTATCTAAGATGGCTAGGAGTTTTGTAGGCTTCTAACAATAATAAATGGAGGGTGGCTGGCCTTATTCGACCGTAGCTAATACAGGTTGGGGAGATTGAGAGCCTCAATCTTCTAATGTTTGAATGGGGGAAGTGAAAACTAATCCTAGGGAACCATGCCCGCAAAAAATTTCGCTATATAATTTATCCTTATACTCCGATACATCCCAATATCTTGAGCAATGGAAAGATTAGACGTAACAGTAGTTGAAATTATATGTCTACTGGTATGAATTCGATAGCATATAAGCTACACGAAACTATAGAGCATACACAAACTCGTGATTCTCCTTGTCGGTAAGATCTAGAAACTCCTGCTTATCTAGCTTTCTATATCCTGGCGTGGCTCTAATCGCTTCATTCTTCTTGTTCATCTTATTGTAATACCATGCAATAAAAACCACATCAATAAGAGCTACCCCATAACAGACAATGATCGTTATTTCTGCCGGCTTGTATCGTGGTGCATCTTGTGGTCTGAATACCTGGGGTCCGGCTATGTTCCCTACGCAATAGGCAACTAAATAAAGGGCTGCAACTGTTGTCTTTTTAGTGTAGCCTGCGACATTACTTGATATCATGGAAAGGATTGCAGTAAATGGTGTTGCTGAAGCTTGTGTTAGGTAATAGCCTGCCAAACGGCCGCTGTTATTGGATAATGGAAGAGCAACTATGAGGATCATTCCTAACATTGCAATTAAAAGACCAGATGTAGAGATTAATAGCCTATGGCCGTATTTATCTCCAAGGTAACCACAAACAATGAGAGTTACAACTTCAACAGCACCACCAGGGCTTCCGTAAAGAAGTGATTGATCTGGAGTGTAACCAAATGACACGATGAGCTGGGAAAAGAAGTTCGAGATTCCGCCTGAGAATTGTCAGTTAAAACGATTTGTCAACGACAAGGCATTCAGGATTTCCTTACCATTAGGTATATCCGCCATCAATGCATAAAAAGCAAACGCCCAAGTGATCGGATCGGCCAAAGCCTCTTTCAATTGGTACATTTTAAAATGCTTATTACCCACGCCTTGTTGATTTTTTCTGATACGCTCAACTGCCATAAGTCTCTCTTTCGGGGTAAGAAACTTGGCATTCAATTGACTGTCCGGCATAAAATAAAGAAATATACACCCAATAGCAACTGTTAACAGTCCAATGGTCAAAAATATAACCTTCCACGGCGCAATGGCAGCTCCATGTTTCTTAACACCAACTGAAATGCCGTATGAAACAACACCACCAAAGATTTGAGCAAATCCATTGAAACTAAACCAGATTCCAGTCCTTAGTCCTTGCTCTTCTTTAGTGTACCATTGGGATGTAAAAAGAGTAAATCCAGGAGTGACTGCAGCTTCGAAGACTCCAAGGAAGAAACGAACAGCCACAGCACCAGCAAAATTGCTTGTCGCTGCCATGCAACACAATGTACCACCCCAGGCTATGATATTGAAAGATGACCATTTAGCAAGGGGCAATCTTTGCAGTAAACGATTGGTCGGATACTCCCAAACCAAGTAACCAATGTAGAACATAGATCTGCATAATCAGTAAAGAAGAATCTTCAAGTGTGAGTTGAACAATCTCACCCTAACCATTGGTAGTTATCACCCTTGAGATTGAGTGAGGTCTTCATACCCATAATACTAGCATATGAAAGTGTTGTCTTATCGAGAAAATTGAGGCCATACACAACACAAAGCATCTGTGAATCGGTAAATAAAACTTATTGAATAAGAGTAGGAGAACAAAAACATACTGGCATCAAATTCCAATCAATTTTTCTCAACAATTGTTTCTCCATCTCTGGTGTCATGACAATAACTTCACCATCATCACTAGCAAAGGCCCTAAGTGCCTCATCACCATCATTTGGATCGACATGTTTGAACATAGGAGCTTTTATTTCCCCTTCAGCTAATGTGATATTTTGTTCCAAGTCGTGTGACTGCATTTCGATATCATCAGAGTCGGTGGACATGTGTTTTTCATTGATTAGATCGGCCATATCGAAAGTAATCTTACGTTTGCCTCCAGAATTAGGGAAAAGAGTACTGCGCAAACGAGGGGATGTGTAATCTGGAAGCGAGGAGGACGAGTAAGAAATGCAGTTCTTGATGTAGAAGGGAAGGCAATTCGTTTTATTAATGATGGAACTGTAGTGCAAGTACTTGACAGTAAAAGTAGTTCCAATGAGCATAGAGATTGCGCCACTTCAAGATCATCGTCGCCCCGCAAAGTCGTTATCAACTAATCCCCATCATATTTTTAGGGTAGATTTGAAAACCTCATTGGTGTATATTCTGACATCATTTCTTATCTGCCATTCTTTAGCTACCTATTGAGAGAGATATGAGATATGAAAATGGGGGAGAAATATCGGTTGACGCAGTGAGTGAAAATGATTGGAGAAAATGTGGAAAATGATACTTGAAGTGGAAAATGATTGCATATAAAAAAGATAAAAATGGAAGGTTACAATCTTCATCGGGAAATGATCCATATTGACTTGGAAGTTTACTATGTTTATCGATAACATAAGCTTCCGTGTGATGATTTGTCTCAGTAACCTATAGTGGTACCACTTCTTTTTTGAAGAACACAAATGATTGATTGTATCTGTACACAACCTCCTCACTCTGACATTCATCAGTCTATCAACACTCACCAGTCTATCAACATTCATATCCTTGTGGAAAGCAGCCTTCTATTGTGAAGAGTAAAGAATTCTTTTTGATGAATGATCCAATATGAAGCTCAGCTTGCCTTCACAAGTGGATTCCCAGATACATGACCATTTGATGGGAGCTAACTGCGGCCATGGAAACCAAATATAAAGTACACCAGTACGATGAACAAGACCACGATGGCTTCGACAGCAACTTGATGTGTAATGAAATCTTATGATAGCATCGACGGTAGCGACAATTTTCCGCATCTCGCTGGATATTTTCAACCCCAACTTTGCTTTGGTGGATTCTCATTGCGTGGGACCACCAGGACCTTAAGCTTATCGCCCCGCATAGCGTTCGTTTACCCCCTCAGAAACACTTTGCTATTCGATCAAGGACACGGAAGTCCAGAAAATACTCGCCCAAACGATATTACCCTTATCCTCCTTTTAGCAAATGAATGTCACGACGTTTAGAAATAGTGTATTAATAGTTACCCTTGCAGAGGGTCGATAAGACTCATATGCAGAGCCTGTAGATCCTACTCTGCGATAAGTAATCGAAGTCTAGTCTTTTCCGACCCGCAGTGAGATCTTAAAAATAAATGAAGGTGGAACTTTTATCACCAGCGCATATGAAAGAGATTTTATGGTGTTATAGAGGATAGGTGGATAGATGCGTTGAAATATCCAGACCAGACCTCCGTTTTGAAGGAGATGCGGAGATTTTACACCATTCTAGGTTCTTATAGCGATGCCACTGGACCTTTCAGGATGAGAATTCTCAGCCAAGGAAGGACAAACTGAATTTGATTTCCCCATGAGGATGTTGTCGCTCCAAGTAGTCCTAACATGATTTAGTACATACAGTCACCCGCCAGCGTCAATATTCAGTCCATTCTACCGTCTTGATAAATCGAAACCGAATACATGTAGCAATAGCCGGCTTACCAGCAGAACTCTTCACGAATGCCCCAAATTCACAATCAGGCACCAGAAGAATCAGGATTTTTATTATGTCTCTGGACACCCCTTTAAGTAGAGGGAGGCCTAATCAGGCATGGGCACTCGTACCCTACTCGGGGTATTTGGCCGCATAGGGTATTTACCCTACCCCATAGAGGTAGAACAGGGTGATTATCCTGCAAACCCACGGTTACGGGTCCAACATTTTCATCTATTCTTTGTTTTGTTTAACTGCGGTAATCTTCAAAGTCTCTCGTGCGCTTTCCTTCATTAGTCATGAACGAGAACCACACATAGCTCTCCAAAATTAAGTTCTTTTTCTCTTCCCCATGTCATATCTCGACCATCTCTTCCCCGATGCTCTTGCAACGAGCCGTAGGAATTCTTGTGCCCAATCATCTACAGTATCTGGCGTTAGTTCACATGTAAAACAGGTAGAAGTACCAGTATATATAGATCCATAACATCAGATCATCCTGGAGCATCACTTCGAACCGCCAAAAGAGGGCTAGCAGTACAATGAATCAAAACTTTGGCATAAAAATCAAGGCTATATACTAGTCGTCACACAGAAATAAGTTTTAGATCAGCTCAACGAACATGCGTACCACTAGTCGGATTAGAATTTATATAAGATATATCATCATTTCTCTACCTCTCAGGTAGTTCTGAGGTTATCTTACATGATTTTGGTATCAAAGTTAGCCTTATTCAGTTCCTGCAGAAATTACCCCTAGTGATGGGAGTCTTATCGTAACTATACGAGTACGGTTGAGGTTTGGTTCATTGCTATGCTTACTTTCATACTTAATATGTACTCAATCCTGCTCGGTTCATTTTCCGCTTTATCTAGGGACTGCTGCTTGTTTGAATTCGTCCGCCAAAATCCTCCACAGCTACCAATATCATGGTTCACTTGCAACTCACTCAACTTCAACGTATCATGGGAAAAGGGAAAACCGCTCGTGACGCTGAGTAGTCAAGTCTATGGACCTCAATAAAAATAGGAGTAATAGTGATTTAAATAGCGAGGCTCCCATGGTGACTACCACGACGTCTAAGCACTATCAATTATCTGTACTCATTCTCTAGCCCCTGTTTCCCGAATAATTGAGCATGCCCCTCGCCCCCTTTAAACATTATATAGCCGTCTTACTTTTAAACACAACTTCTTCCATAATAATAACCTCCAACATAATTCCATACAAATCCTTCTAGATATCCCAACAAGGAAAGAAATCCATCTTCTTTCAAATTATCACATATTGCCGTAGACATGCAACTAATAACTCCAGCACATCCTCACAACATCGAATTTTCTATCTTCCAGCAGAGAAGCCCACCAGCTCGCTTACGGGATCTTCTCCCGCTAGCAAAAATCCTTAATACTCACACAACTAACCAACCCCAATGTCACATCTAAAAAAGACTTCAAATTTCAATCATAGAAATGAATTAGGGAAATATGGATATACATTATATATCCTCCCAAACCGTACATATAAACTCCCAAGCACTCTCAAACACGAAATACCATCACAAGCAAAAAATAAACCCGACTAATCTCCCATCTCCACAATCCTCTCCACGATCCTCTCCTCAACTTTCTTCTTCTCCTTTACCCTCAACAACACCAATACCAATACCACGGAATATTTGTCTATATTTATATTTGACTGTGTAAGATCTTACCTACATATATAGCACTAAGTTTAGCTAGGAATAAAAAGGGGATTACAGGGGAAGAATAAATAAAAATTATAAATAAAGTCTTTCTTTTAATTTTTGGGGGGTATTCATTTATTTTTACCTTACTGTGATATAGTAGGTGTTTTAGGTGATGATGATGATGATAAGGAGGAGGAGGAGGAGGAGGAGGGTAAGGGTACGGAATGTGAGTGGGATTTAGCTATTTGCCTGCCTGCCTGCCCGGGTTTGGGTTTGGGGTTGGGGTTACTTTTGAATTAGTTATGGGATCATTATGCTCGTATACCTAGTAGAATTTTGATAGAAGAGGAGGGGGCAACGGGATATATGGGATCATATAGGTGTTAATAGATACTATAATGGCACTACTCAGGAGTAGAAGAATCTCAAAGAAAGCAGTCGGTAGTGACATTTCACAAGTCAAGTGAGAAAAGACAGCGCTCGTAAATATCCTCATTCGATTCATTTATCCTACTCCATTCCCCCTACCTCAGATCTCAATGTTATCTTCTCAAAATCTGCTTCCTTCATACCTCCCTCGCATATCATATTATACCCCCAAAAGTCCTTCCCTAAATATGCATTAAACAAATTTACTTATCAAAAAACATGACTCCAACAGAACTTAATGTAAATGTGAATATGTATATGGCCCAATGCAAACCAACGCCAGAAAACAAGAGGTTCAAAAAATTGCCCCTCAAATTGTCATACTTGCTGACCAGACCCGCTGAAACCAAACCACGCTCCTGATATCTCATCAAAATAACCCATCTTTATCAATCCAATGTAAACTTAACCCTCATTCAAGCAACAATACTCCTAGCAACACTACCACCCCATTTAAATCTCCTCAATCCACCACTTCCACTTCTCACAACCTCTCTTCCACAACTTCCATCACTCATCGAACCATTCCATCCTCCAAGAACTGAAGCTTCTTGTCTTCCTACTTCCCTTCCAATGACATATCCTGCTCCAAATCCAACTACAGAAACAAGTACTACCACTCCTGCACTCATTACCCATGTTAGGAGAGTAGGTGAAATAAAAGCTTCCTCCCCTTGCATAAGTTCATTCTTTTTCTTTTTTAAAGCTCGAGTATTTTGTTTCGTTTGACTAGCTTTACGTTTAGTTTCATCTTGAGAATCTTGTGATGATCTAGTTTTCGAACGATTTGGCGATAGAGGTCGTGATATATTAGTTGTAGGATGAGGTGATGTACCAAGAAGTTCTGATTCAGGAACTATTCGAAGACCAATTGGTTCATTACTTGTGGCAGTTTGGCCAGGAGATTTAGGAAGACCTCTTGCTGCAGCTGCACAAGATAATAAAGTTGTAAGACTAGCCCGAAGAGCAGCATCATGATCTACAGGTGGTCGAGCATAACTGTTAAATGAGGGATTTCGTGAAGTTGTGTGGTTACGCGACGGATATGATTGTGGTCGCGGTTGTGAATGAACTTGTCGTGGGAAGTATGAGCCTTGTGTAGGAGCTGGAGTTCGATGACTTTGAGATTGTGATGATGGAGGGTGGGAGAAAGCATTTGGTTGAGGTGTAAATGGTAATGTTGTCCCTCTTCCTATTCCCAAAGCTGTACCATTCTCATCATCATCATCTTCTGATTCTGCATCATATGTTTCTTGAGTTGATAATCGTGCTGGAATGGCAACTGGTGGGGATATCTCATTTGAGCTAGTTATAATATCTATGTGATCTGGTTCCGATTCTGATTCTTCGTATTCCTCTTGACTACTTGAACTTCTTTGTCTGTTGATGTTTGTATTAATTTCCGGTCGTGACTGATTTTGGGATCGTCTGCGCCGTCGAATTGAAGGATGTTGAGAAACTCGAAGACCAGTTGTAACGATTTCATTATCGATGGAAGAAATTGAGGATGAAGATGGTTGAGAGGATATTTCTACCCATGATTCTGCTGTTTTGCGCGATTAGATATGAGATTAGATTAGATCGATCTGTGGAGGATATGGGGAAATGGGGAAGCTGTAATTAATAAGAATAGAAAATACCTTCATTGCGCAATCGATCTGATACAGCATTTGATCTTCCCATATTGTTTTTATTTTGTTGATTTTGAGATGTATTGGGGGATCGTGAATGTTGATAAGGATCTTGCGAAGTTGGCATGATGAGGAATGAGGAGTGAGGTTGATAATAGTGATGTGATGTGATATGATTGATGGCTGAGCTGATCAAACGCGCGGGCGGGGTCAGGGTTCACAAGATAGACAGGACAGGACAGGATAGATTGGCATGAGAAAACAAAGTGCGGTCAGATGTTTGATATGTTTCAAGATGATTTTGTTGAGAAATGTTTATTTATTATTGAAGCTCCTGCTGCTCTTTGAAAATCATCAGATATATCGTAAATAGTTTCTTATCAGCCGTAATAATAGGGGTCTTGGAGGAGATGGAGACCGCTCTTCGGAGTGGTTGGAATTTAGAGACTAGAAACTAGAAACTGGAAGCGGGAAAAGGAGTGGATGCTTTGTTGTCTTTCTTCTTTCTTGAATGGATGAAGTTTGGTATTGGCAAGATAAGTTTCCAAGGTTGATGTGATGCAGCACTTTAGATGGTATAGATTGATGTAAGAGAGCGAGTGGGCTGCTTCTTTTTCCAATGATATACGAGTGCATATGCGAAAGATTAATATAGGTACCTAGTATCCGAGTACGCAGAAGTGGATTTGGCGAATAGATTAGATAGTTGATGGTGATAGTTGATGCCTTTATCAAAGGTATATTTGCTATTGTCTGGTACAGAAGTACAGAGGAGAAATAATAAGAAGTTTAAAATGATATATGTAAGAGTAGGTAGGTACCTAATAGGTAACAAATAGTGAATGTGTGTACTCCGCGCGTGTACAATATCGGTGAATACAAACAACTCCCCTTCCTGCAGCAATAATAAGAACTTGTTATCATGATTTAATTGAGATGATGCTGACTGAGACATTGTATCATGAGCTTATCTTATCGTGAATAGAGAGCATGACCCTCACTTGTCACGTGTGTGATTGGAATATTGTGAAAAGGACAACCTCAAGTTCTTGATCATGGTGAGTCACAAGTAAAATACTACTCCGTGAATAATGATGCAAGAGAAAAACAACCTCACCACCCACGCTGTACAGAGTATATGAAGATATACTTAGATATTGATATGTTTCGTTTTTCCAACAGGTTAAAGCGGCATTCGGGAGAACAGAGCGGACAATCGCGATAAGACCCTTTCTTTCCCCCTTCATCGATATCATCATCAACATCAAATACCTACTAGGTGCGTACTCTTCCTTTCCTCTCTTTCTACGTCATAAGATATCAAACATCTTAATCTCTCAGTCAATCCCGATTGTCAACAAGAAATTCAATCAACATGGCAATAACTCGTTTTCGGTTCATGCGCAACACCCAACAAAACCTTCCTTTCGTATAATATATCCTCTTCCAATGGCATCATTTTGCACTCCACCATTTACACTTCGTACCAGAAGATCTTTTGTCAGGGAACCATGAATATCATCAAGGATCAACCGGAATCATCAGATATATAACCCGGTATTCGCTGCTCATCATATCGTGACACACCATTCATTGCGTATAGTGTTTTGGTGTATCATGATTATGTTGTGGGTGACAAGTAAGACTTGCTTATGATCACATGTTTCAAGAGTCACCGTGACTCCTTCACACCTATTCTAAGCCAAGGAGATATGGGTTTCTGTACATGATAGTTGTGAGAGATAGAACCTGAATATGCAAGCGCAAATCCTCTAGGAATCGGTACAACCTGTTTTATCCAAATTTAGCTACTCAAGCAAAATGTTCTTGACGTCTCTCCTCTTGACGTCTCTATTGATTCTCATTGCTTTAATCAAGCACATAAAATTCTACATCACCTCTGAAGAAGCACAGAGCCTCTGCGTCAAACAGACTACAGGAGATACGCTGTTTGAAATGAAACCGTGTGGTAAAGCATAAGTACTTCTCTTTCATTGCAACAAGGTATCGATTCCAGGAAGTGTTTTCTGCTGAAACGATCAATCCAATTGATTTGAGCCCCGAGCTTCCCCTTTTCATTTAACCACATTGCTACCATTCAAAACCATTGAATTAGCACAGTCTTAAATATTTCCCAGCTTAAAGACTTTCGATGCTCTGCAAAAAATCACATTAGTCGGGCGGAGAGCGTCGACATAGGCCACTACCGCATTCCCTTCAATTGCATATTGCAAGCTATAGAGAAACTGGAATGCTAGTAGGTAGACCAAGTTCTTTTCCAGTTATACTGCTTGCTTGGCAAGGTTTAGCTCGCGTCAAACATATAAGATGGGCTCAAAAGATAGAGTCTAGAGCCGAGAAGTCTGATAATAGAAGAGCGGCAACTAGTAGTTTGGATCTAATAGAACCGATAGCTTCTTAGTTTTAGTTTCAAAGCCCGACCTGTACAAGGTTTTATGGTTGGGTCATGTTTGTACGTGAACGCATCAATAGAGATAGTAAGACATGAGCCGGAATTCCATAATATAATAGGGTGTCTAGGCTATCTAGGTGGTTGTCATTTTCATCTTCTGCTGCTAGTCGGTGCTGCCGATGGTTTAAGAAGAGAAGCTACAAGGGGTCATGTCACACGAAATTTGCTGATTTGCCTTCATGGTTTTGACATGTTAATCACCACAATGAATTGAAATCCCAGGTAGATAAACTAGCCCCGAAAGACTGAGGAGTAGTATCATTGAGATATAGATAAATATAATACAATAGCAATACAAGAATGACATATAAAGGTCCAAATGAACTCTGGCATTGGGTGAATTTGAGATACTCAACCTAATTAAGTACCTGAATGATTATACGTGATCGACATTGGACTTACTGGTCTGCTTTTTTGATACGTCTATATACATCTCAATACTCATCCACATCTCCGCATAAAACTTTGCCATGCTTATGTTAATGAGGTATCGGGTATGTCCTGGCCTGCAAGTATGGCGTGGCAGAATAACTGATGAGTTAGTATGTGTACGAGGAAAGAAATACAGGAACCATTCTTCCCAGTTCTCTATAACGTTAACGCGTATGTGATGATGCGGTGCGGATATTTGTTTGTTTCATGAGGTTGATAGTTTGAAGCGAGGAATTTGGACAGAGAATATTTTCTTTCTTTCTAGCCCGCTAAAGCGTGTTGGTATTGATGACGATGTTGATGATGATGGTATATTTGCATTCTGCTGGTTCTGATTCAGGCTGAGGGTTTTGATTCTTGGACTTATTTTGTATGAGGGGGGAGGAGGTTGATATATTGATCTTAGCTTAAGTTCCGGTGCGCGTAGTTTCTTACGTGCGCGTTTTGAAGTCTTCTTTCTGGGTGGAGGGGGGGGTTGAGGAAAGAATTTAAGAAGGTCGATATATACGTAACTGGACGTTTGTAGGTAGGAATCATTTATCCAGGCTGCATCAAACGTGGTTAAAACCCAGACCTGCTGGGGTTTTGACACGGGTCTTGATGAAAAACTCCTGGATAAGTTCTTTGAGGTTTGCGGTGATCTTTCGATGAAGCTGGGGAGTGATGTTGCTCGTTAGATGCACCTAGATGGTATTCAGATGATAATTAGACTTACTTTTGATAGGATCTATAATCCCAACGTTCTTCTCCCTCTGTTGCTAGACTAAACCTGGAACTCGAAGATTAGGATTCCAAATCATGTGGTAAGAAATATATTCTCCGCTTAAAGACCATTATTTGATTAGTCTGCAGGGTGCTGAAATATCTAGCTCATAAATTCTTCACTCCTCCCTCTAATATAGCGCTACACTTCAACACCCTTCCTATCTACATCTTTAGAAAGCCCTGCAAACGGAATAAATTGAGAGAAAACAATCACATTTCTTCTGCCAGATCATCTAGTATCTAATCCGAAGCAAAACATCTTTCTCAACTCAACCTCTTCCTCCCTCCAAGTCGGAAGCAGGAATAAAATAGATACGTGATGCTTCTCTATTCTGCTGTTTATTACTCACTTCTACACATAGCTCAGCTCCCTCCTTTGAGTCATCGCTGTGTATCTTACATCCGCTCATGAAATAATTATAGCCATTTTCACTCCCACTTTACTTTACTACCCGCGAATCTGCTAACCATCCTGCCACAACGCATAAACTTTCAGAAAACTCACCGTCACCACCATCGCCACTATATCTCATAAAGACGTTATTAGCAGGACTAACCATAAACCGATGCTCCTTCCAATCAAAAGCATCAGTATCAGTACAATCTCATCCTACTTGACTTTCTCTATGACCATGATCATGGTGGTTGTTTATGCTGACTTATAAATAATATATGATGAACACATGTGTAAATTTCTATTATATTTATAAATGTCTTTATATAGTATTAATTGTCTTAGGAACCGAAAGGGAATGTTCTGCGATCTTTAAATGAGGAATGGGTATCAAGATATCATACTTCTTATAATCATCACTCATGTTTAAATATTACATCTTCATGTTTTTATATAAAATCTTAGTGTGAACATCCACCCACTATTATTTCACCACAAATATCTATTCACCCACTTGCCTCCCAAAAAGAATTCAGACCCTGCTCCCCCTAATCCCGCCAGCTCGAAATATTATACTCTGATTGAACTTAGAATTAATATTAATCTCTTCGAAGAAATCATAGGAATTGCGTTTATTATGAATTAGATGTATATTTATGATGCTGAAGGCGAGATATAAATGTAATCTTATATACCTAACTAAACATGAATATAACCCTACCCTACATTTCCCCCTCCTGCGCTGTAGGATAAATCAACATCTCATATCAAATTATCATTAACTACCTCACACACAAAAAATACACAATCATCAATCCATCTCCTAACCATAGATATCCATCTACTAAACATTACTTATCCAATTTGTCCCACTCTCACAGGTCCCACACGGAGAACTCTAACATGAAATTTCGGATCTCTCGGTACATCCCCAAATTTGTCCACATCCGAAGTCTCGGGTTTGACAGTGTGGGTATATGATTTATCGGATTGGAAAGACTATTCTAAATCAATCCTTGTCGTGGAATCCTGTCTTTTTGTATAACATTTATGATACAAAGTCTATTATATCCTAAAACATTTCATCTCATCACATCTTACCCAAGCTTATATCGTGACATCCCGTCCCATAAGCATAAGCATAAGCATAAGCAAGAATATTCATCATTCTAGAGTTTTAAAACAAATCTCAGCCATCAGACACCAGCCATCAGACACCAGCCATCAGCCCAAATCCCAACTACCAAGTATTGATTTCGTGAATAAAGTACTTACTGAACGGGTTGAATCACGAGATCTAAGATGTATGCATGTACATTCACTGCAAGTCTAGAGAAAGTAAGACATCAAGACTTTTCGTACTACTCATGCGTTAAGCCCCCAAGACTAAAACAGGACACTCCAAGGAAAAGAATGCAAAAGAAACAGGAGGATAAGATAAAAACTGAATAGCGAATAACAAGTGAGAGTGCAAGGAAAAATTTAAGTTTGAGACATATATGTTGTCAAACGGTGAGTTTTTTATGCACACTCCATGCACAATTCTTTCTTCAACATAATCAAGGATAAACTAATCCTCTTCTTCCTGTCTTTCTTTCTCGCGAACCCGAATCCAAGTTCAAATCGAGTCCCAAACCCAAACCATTGGCACTCGCATCCGACGCACGTGATATCGATCAGCAAGTCGATCACCACGAGACCAGTTTCATAGAATTTTTGTACCCCACAAGAACCTAATATCTTACCAGCCGGGAAGAAGAGATTATTTCCCCGGCTTGTTGTGTTTGGGATGTTTACCAATTGATTTGATGGTTAAGGATCCAAGGACGTGGGATATGATTATTACCGCTTGGTGTGGGTTCCTCAAGGATCGTCATTTGGAAGAGGGGAAGTTAGAATGGATGGGTAGTTGAATACCTAGGTAGGTAAAGATATTCATAGAAGACTAGGAGAATTAATGGTTAAGTGTGAGGATTAAAATGATAGTTAAGGCTAGCACTAGCTATAGAATGTATAAAATGGTAGATAGACTAAAGGGTTAGGGCTGGAAATGTTGTACAGTGAACGAGACAGAGAGATAAGTATGACAAGTGTGAAATTGACAACAAGATACAGCAGTGACACACTTATTGTGTATAGTATGGAAACTACCATCGAAGATCATTCTCGAAGACTACTACCACACCACAATCCCAAACCATTCAATCAATTTAACCCTAACAATGATTATGAGCCTTCCAATTACTAGCTATTTCATCTCCGTCTCCTTACGTAGCAATGATGATGATGGCGTATGTAGTGTATGCATTCAAAGATGATCTAATTGACCTGCTGACTCTTATCTTCTCGCTAATATTGATATGTTTGGCTTCTTTGAAGTTAGGTTAGTCTGAGGTTGAGTGTACAGCTTTAGTTCCCACAGGCTTTGATGTTAGGATAGAGTGGTTAGTTGCTGCGGAGTCGTATAGATTAGTCGTGGCTTGCTCTGAGGGCTGGATAATATGTTGTGTTTGATTCTTAAGGTTTTCTGGGCGAGGAAGATGATGATGGTTGGATGCAGGTTGTGGTGTGTGGTAATTGGTAGGTGAGTGAGGGGTTGATGAAGTAAGCTTTATTTGTAAGGTGTGTGGGTGATGATGTTTTGGTGATGTGTGATGGAATGTGATGGGGTGACATTCACAACAGAAATAAATAAATAAATCTTCAGTACTCGAATACTCTGTATATGACATGGAGTGTATGCTGCTGTATGCTGTATGCTGTATGCCCAGACTTTGTCCTTCACAGGCTCACCCGGGTAACGACTGTTGCTGGGCAAGCAGGCGAGTTCGGTTGTCATTCCTTGGGATTTTGCCACTGAATATGGCGATTGTTGAACAGGGGATTTTCTAGGATTGTGAGAAGCTTGAATGGGTGAAGAGGAAATGAAACGAAATGCGATGAAATGCTAATGATTGATTTGTGAATATCCTGTCCTAACATGTAAGCCATGTACGCTCAGTAAAGTCAATTGTAGAGTTAGAGAATATCTAAGACAACTCGAACCTAATCTAGACTATACATATGGCGTAGAGAATAAAAGTAAAAAGATTATTTGAAAATCTTTACTTCTGAGTATTCTCGAGTTGTAGGAGATATCTCCGACTGAACCTTCTCACTCGCAATATTTGGTTAATCATACTCCTTACTCATTCATTCATACCTTACTTGGCTATAAGATGGTGTGTGGTGTCAGGCAGAGTTATCTTCATTCAATCCACGGACCTGGCCGAAGTTGCAAAGAGATCGGGGGATAAATCATTTATCACCAACATGCAGATCTCAAGGAGGGCATGGAAATCGCAGATGACGAACAAAAAGATTCGAGAATGGGTCGAGGAATAATGTAGTGTTACGGGAACCTAATTTGGATAATACGTGGATATATGCGAGGTGCAACCCTTTCGTTTTCAAGGGATCCAATGAATGAATATAACTTCATACTGTAAAATGGGGTGTATTGTTCCTTGGAGGGCGAATTGGTGCTAGAGATGAGTTCTCGAATTATCTTTATGTAAGTAATGTTGTGAAAGATATTGTGGGAGGTTGTGAGCTGGTTCTTGGGGACTATTTTCGGTTGTGTTTGGGGAAGATGTCGTTATGGTATGATACTAAGCAGATATATATAGGCTCATGCGAACGATATTGTAACTTTGGGATAGAAGAATGTAAAAAGAAGTGCCAAGATGTGGATATTCCGTAAGTTTCATTGCACAAGCTTACAATAGAACGGTCGAAAGAGACAATGAGTTGTGGCTGGAAATGGCTTCTCGGGATGATGAGTATGAGGAGAGTGTGAGGAGACTCAGGAGAGTAAGGAAGAACTAAAACTTTACTATCGCTATGACATGACATCAAGAACTTGGCCAATTCCTTCAGTAGTTCAATACTCAAGTAATTCGTGATAAACTCAAAGTAGGAGGGGATTAAAAGTCTAGAACACTTGTTTACCAAGTGATCTGAAAAGTATATCATCATTTCCCGTATTATAACTATCTACTGCTCTCCAAGACAAGAAAAGGATAGTGTGTTTGTTTTCATGCAATAAATCAGTAGGATATGGTTAGATGGAACGATATGTTGACCATGATCAGTCGTATGCAACTGCCGATGAATCTAGACCCGGTATGATGAATGCATGAGAGAGTTTGAGGGTATTCACAATCATGATCATAATCATACTCATACTCATACCCGTACTCCTACTCGTCTCCTGTTACTTCAATGCCTACGAATTATGAGGGTAAAACTAATGTAACTAATGATAAATGGTTTTGATATTGAATCAACAGCAACAACAATCACATGCCGTACCGATATCCATCCACTCAGTTATGTTATCATATCCATATCCACATCAAAGCATCAAAACACGGCACAGTAGCCAAACTTAGATATACAACCCCCAGCTTACTTTCTCTTATACTTACCCTACCTACCTGGCATATACCTAGCGACTAATATAACAGTTCGTCGAGCCGTTCGTCACAAACCTACCCATGTGCATTGCTGTGCTGTATGTACCTAGGTATGTATGTAGGTCATCTTTAAGTTTCCATTTTCTCTTTTACCGTTCCTCATTGCCTCATTACCTCATGCACCAATAGTTTAAGTTCAACAGTCAAATCTATAAATCCCAATTTCTTTGTTTGACTAATTCCTAAAGATCATGGTCTCATTCTGATTCGTCGTGGAAATATGTATCCTCTGATATAATTGGTCCTTCCCCTCATCAGAGAATGATCCACTCTTGTACCAATTCTCAAAGTATCACTCCCAAACAGTAATCAATTCCGATCAAATCAATAGGGAAATACATGTACGCGAATGTAGAACAAGTCGAAACAGTCAAGGGAGATCATAGACCCAGTTATTCAATGTAATTGGTCCAAAAAGAGAAGAAGAGGTTAATAGGAGTAAAAACATTCGATTTGTAGTGACCCCGAAAATAACTTGTGGTATTACAACTTTCACATTCCTATATTGATATTTATTCTATCTTTCAATTGTTTTTATTTTTATTTAGGTGGCAAATCTGAATCATTATTATAATTGAGTCTATCATTTCAAATATATAGATATTTATATTATATGTATGTATATATAAGATCTTAAGACTAGATTATAGACTAGTCAAACCGTTTCAATCATTAATTATCTATATATATCATCATTATCATTGTTAGTGGCTTGACTAAGCAAATAAAAAAAGATCACAAAACGTTTTGTACTTAATAAAACCTCCTCTTTAATTAAATCCCAAAGATCAAATCCTAATAAATACCCTCTCTATATGCCAAAAAGGAAACAAAGCAAAAAGGCATAAAGGTACCTCAGGTTCAAGGTTGACCAGTTGTCCTGGTTCACTCACACACATCACATCACACTCCACCTACCACCCAATTCCAACGGACTTGCTCCACCAACCACTCAAACGGAATAGCTCTGCCGTATTTCGTACCCATCGACAAGACACACCAGACAAATTTATCCCCCAACTACAACTTTATTATAAGTTGTCTTCCGATCCCTTCACCACATACTTTACAACCTTTCAACATTTCACTCATAAATTTTATAGAGAGAGACATCAAATATCAAATATTATGATGTCTTCTTTCAATCTTTTTTGCTAGCTAGGGTTCATTCCTCGCGGTCGACTCGACTGTTTTCCCCCTCCACGATTCCAAAAGATTGCGAAAGACGAGACACGATAACACCCAATTATCACAAACGAAAAGACGCGTACAACTTCAATGACTTGATTTCAGAGTCCAAGGGCCCAACATACAACAGTCCATGTTGACGCATAGGATCGATTCTTAGGAATCTCAATTTTAAATACATCAGACAAGATGGAGGGAGATCAGAAAATGTTAGCACCACCCGCTGTGTCGCATCTGCGCGCAGAGGCCGGTATGATGGAAAGATCGCTCAGTGCGGATATTCGAGAAGAGAGAGAAGATCTTAGACAAGCGGCAGAGGAAACTCTTAATGTCATTATAAATCTCAGTATGGATGGCACAATAAATTGGGTCAGTCCCTCATGGACCGATGTTATCGGCACCTCATTGGATTCCGTTCAAGGTAAACCAATCGCCGATATCCTGATTGGGGATAACGACAAGAGGGTATTTGCAGATACGGTCGAGGAGATGAAGAAGGATGATTCTCGCAGCTACATTATACGTTTCACCATTCAGTTAGGACCGGCTTCAAGGTTGTTACCACAGGAAAATTTGGATCATGTCAAAGAAGGTGAGGGAGAAGGTGCAGCAGTAATGTCACAACCGGAACCTGCTACGATTGATTTAGAGGCGCAAGGTATTATGGTGCACGATCGAGCTTCGGAATCGGATAGCCATGTAAGTTTTTTGGCCTTCGTTAAGAGTACCCAACTAACATTACGCAGACAATGTGGATGATTAGACCTTGGATAGCGCCACGTGAAATTCAAATCGACCTCGCCCCCGTGATAGTCGATTCTCTAGGATCAGGAGCACAAATTCTAGCAAGTTATCTGACTACAGTTGCAGAGCAGGGTCTCGAAGATCCAGCAAATCATGCCCCGCCATTACCACTTCTTTGTAGAATCTGCGAACGTCAAATTACTCCTTGGTGGTTTGAAAAACATACCGAGTTGTGTCTTCAAGAACACAAAGCGGAGATGGAAGTACAAATGTGTCAGGATAATTTGACGGAACATCGTCATGCTATTGTTAGAGTTTTGGATGCGTTAGAAGCTCGTCAAGCTCGATCTAGTTCGGGTGAACATTCTATGATGCCGACGCCACCTCAGGCTGAATACAAAGGATTGCCGATTGGAGCCAACTCAACCACATCCTCCGGTACAGCATCCCCTGGAACACCCACATCTGGTAGATCTCGGTCAAGATCTACATCAGGATTTGGTCATGCTAGAGGACGATCATTCGCTCAAAGGCGGCCTCATGCTCGGATCGTTGAACTTTTACTGGATCTTTGTGACACAGCCATGGAAATTAATACGCCTGCGATCAAGGAACCATCTCCGCAAGCTCCGGGAGAGTTTCGCACACAATCTCCTCAATCGGAATCTCGCATAGCTCAAGTGTTGCAATGGCAATCACCTAATATGAATGCAGTCGACCAAGAAGGTTTATCTTTACTATGTGCAGATAGTGAAGCTGTTGCTCGTGCAAAAGTTGAGGCCGTTATTCGTCATCGAAGAATAATCGAATATTCGGAACGCATTCGTATCGAATTTTCCGCTATTGTACAAGATTGTATTGATGAGGCTATCAACAAAGCTTCTCGACTTGCTGCTGGTCAGCTCAGTGATTCGACCGAAGAACCTGAAGAAACCACTACAGTCCAAGATGAGGGATTTTTCGCTGGTTCTTTTGATGGTCCCTCCTCATCGCTTGCTGCAGCACTTCGAGCTGCTGAATTGGGTACGGGCACGATACATGAAGGTCGCCGACTATCATATGCTGCTATTTCTTCTACCAGATCCAGTAGTCCTAAAGAATGTCCAACCCCTCGATCACACCAAGGTGCTCTAAGTAGCATGCTAGGAAATACCCGGGAAGCAAGAAGGGAATCTATCTTTTTCGAAAGTGATACTGGTGCGGAGAGTGATGGTAGCGTCAGATCATCATCAGTCATGGGACGTCCGCCAAGAACGGAATCACCAGTTTCAGAGTTTGGAGATCTTCGTCGACATGCAAGTTCCCGGCAACAAAATAGGCGAAGCATGGTTCTCGGCACCGGTACCCTTTCACCCCGAAGACAAGAGTCTCCAGTTCGGATGCCACCTCCATCTTCCCCATTGAGAATTTCCAAACCACGCATCTTGCCGATCGCTCACGAAGGTATTGTTTCTCCAACTGCATCGCCGATGCTTCCCGGAAGCGAGTTCAGCTCACCCGCATTAATTCCGTCACACCACCGACGTCAATCCTCGGCTGCTGGATCAGACCCACGTCCACCACCATCACCTCGATTAAACTGTGTCAATGTCAATGCCCCACAAGCACGTGCTGTACCACCATCGATCAAAGATTTTGAAATCATTAAACCTATCAGTAAGGGTGCCTTTGGAAGTGTTTATCTATCGAAGAAAAAGTCTACTGGTGACTACTATGCCATCAAAGTACTCAAAAAAGCTGACATGGTTGCCAAGAACCAAGTCACAAATGTCAAAGCCGAACGTGCTATCATGATGTGGCAAGGTGAGAGTGATTTTGTCGCTAAGCTCTATTGGACATTTTCGAGCAAGGATTATCTTTATCTTGTCATGGAATATCTTAATGGTGGTGATTGTGCATCTCTCATCAAAGTTCTGGGTGGTCTTCCGGAAGATTGGGCGAAGAAATACCTTGGTGAGGTGATCCTTGGTGTGGAACATCTTCACAATCGTGGTATTGTACATCGCGATTTAAAACCCGACAACCTTCTCATTGATCAAAAGGGTCATCTTAAATTAACCGATTTTGGTCTGTCTAGAATGGGTTTGATTGGCCGACAAAAGCGTGTTTTAAATAGCGCAGCAAATGAGTCGGCTCCAGATCTACTCAAGCAGGGGCCTTTTGCTCGGGCCACATCGATGAGTTCTTCTCGTGCTTCATCATTCGATTTTCAAGGGCATCATTCACCTGGTTCGACACCACAAATGACGCCTGATGTTGGAGGTAGTTTAGGAACTCCCTCGTACTTTAATTTGAGTCGAGAGAACACTGTCAATAAGGATGCACGACGAAAATCTGGCCATAGGAGTGACAGCGGCGGCAGTGACGCACTGACACATATGTTCAACACCTTTTCTCTGAACGAAGCTCAAAATCAACAAGCCCTCAATCAACGAAGAACCCCTATCGAAGAATTGAGCGAAAATGAGGCTGCTGGATCACCAGATCTATGCCTTCAACCAGTCACAAGTCACAGCTCAGATGCCAGGCACGGTACACCACCGCAAACAAGCACAGGTATGATGCCGCCTCCAATGGCTCTTTTTGATCCTGATGATAGTAATCGTCGATTCGTTGGTACACCTGATTATCTTGCTCCTGAAACTGTAAATGGTCTTGGCCAAGATGAAGTGAGCGATTGGTGGTCTGTAGGATGTATCATGTTTGAATTTATCTATGGTTACCCACCTTTTCATGCTGGCACACCAGATGAAGTATTCGAAAATATTTTAGCCCGACGAATCTCATGGCCGGAGGAAGGCGATTATGATGTTTCGGATGAGGCTAAAGATTTAATGAATAAGCTTTTATGCGTGGATCCACAGCAAAGGCTTGGGGCTAATAAAGAAGAGAAATTTGCTTCTGGAGGAGATGAGATTCGAAATCACCCTTGGTTTGAAAGTATTCAATGGGATAAACTTCTTGAAGATGATGCACAATTTGTCCCTGCTCCAGAGAATCCAGAAGATACTGAGTATTTTGATTCTAGAGGAGCCACTTTGCAATCTTTCGCGGAAGAGATGGAAGATCAAGCCTCTACTCAGCACCCTACTCCTGGTGCCGAATATCCTGAACGCCCTCATGATGCTTTGTCTCGAGTTCGAAGTCAAGTCAATAACGTCAAACGAGGTTTGATGCCACTGCATATTCCACCTCACGTTCGAGATATGAAGAGCAGGCGACTTAGCGAACCTGTTGTAGCAGATGATTTCGGAAACTTTACCTTCAAAAATTTACCTGTTCTTGAAAAGGCAAACAAAGATGTTATTCAGAAATTACGACAGGAAGCCATGGCATCTCAAAGTAAGCCAGTAGTCAGTCCTGGTGGTGCTAATAGCGTAGTTACATCCCCTGCTGCTTTAGAAGGAAGTTCGGCCTTGCCAATGTCAATGCCTATTCAAAGAACTCTGTCGAATGCTAAAGCTACAGCTCGACCTTCGTCTCCTTCTGGATTGAGTCAAGCAAATTCTTCTCCAAGTAGGGCTTCTCAACCTTCATCACCTTTGCTTGTCTCATTCATTGCAGGGCAAAATAATGACGCTAGACGCAAAACTTCGAGCAATTCCTCGAGCCTATCACAACAGTCGAGCAACAATCTTGCACCACCTGCTAGTTTTATTGATGGGCCAAGAACATCTCCTGGTCTTCACAAGACTACTAATTCTGCTGCTTCGTCACCTATCAAGGCACGTGGATCAGCACCTCCACCACTTTCGTTATCTTCACCAGGAAAGGCGCCACCTGCGACTCCACGACAAGGCAGCAGTAATTCATCATCTTCAAGAGCACGTTCGCAAACAGTTGGTTCACAAGAAGGAAGTCCTCTACCTGGTGAATTCTTATCCCATCGTAAACGACGAAGTCAGGTGTTCGACATGTCGCCCTCCTCTTCGGACAATGAAGGAGAGAAAGCCAACGCATTACTTCGTGTTCAACGTCGTCGTCAAAGCTCAAGGCGGATGTCTCAAATCACTTTGGCAGAGGGACCTGCTTTTAGACCTTTGGATGTACTGATTTGTGAAGATCACCCAGTGTCTCGAATGGTCATGGAGAAATTGTTAGAGAAACTGCGGTGCCGTACAGTTACCGTATCAAATGGTGCCGACGCAATGAGATATGCTATTAGTGATATCAAATTCGATATCATTATGATGGAATTCAAATTGCCTCAAATCAATGGTGCAGATGTAGCTCGCATGATTCGCGAGACTAAAAACGCCAACTCTCAAACCCCCATAGTTGCCATTACTGGGTATTTGAAAGAACTTCAAGCACCTCATCAATTCGATGCTTTAATTGAAAAGCCACCGACAGCCTCGAAGCTTACTGAAGTCCTTTGTAGATTATGTCAATGGAAAGAACCTATATCTATTTTGAACTTTTCACCGGCATATCCTCCACCATCTGGTCTACGTCAAGAGAGTATACGTCTTGAGGATAGCCCAACTTCTGCTTCATCCGGTTATGCACATTTGCCAGCTGGTAGCTTTAGAGGATCAAGTCGTGAAGATTCTATCAGTTCAAGTCTTTTTGGAGATACTGAGACCTTTCCAACTGATGATCTTCCTGTCGTCATTAATAGGAGACCCACCGGTGATTGGGATGAGACTGGTCTTGGGATTTGTAATGAGGTTCACATGATGGAGGTCAATGATTTACCTAAACTACCACCACCCAGTCTTCTTCATAATAGCTCTTCTCCACCTCGAGTAGAACACCGCCGAAACCTCTCACGTCAACGATCGTCTGAGAAGATGAAGGCTAAGCGAGAAAGTTTGGAGAAACATCGTCATGAATGTGGTGAATCTGGTGATGATGAGGATGAAGTTTTAGGTGATGTTGCTGTGAGAGAAAAGACTAGCCCAAAGAGTACTTCCCCAAAGGCACAACGTGGTTCTAAACTTGGAACAGAAATGATGCGCACGAATAGTCGTGGCAGCGTTGTTTCAGGGACGGAAATGCCGAGCTCTGAATTGATTGAACCACCCCCTACTGTCACGGAAGAGGCAATTCTTTTATCACCAACATCAGAAGTACCTCTAGCTTCGAGGATTTCAGGCGCTACTTTAACACCCCCTGAGATGCTTGGAGGTCCCAGCGATAAGGAGGTTGACCTCTTCGAAACACCAAAACAAACACAGTCACAAACTTCATTCCTAGATGAAGAACATACTCCACGACCTACTTCAAAGTCATCTTTCGCAGGTGCAAATGATGATTATCTTAATGCCGTCAAAAATTTTAAGAAAGACCAATAAACCCTGCGTTGATCTACTATCACGAACGTAGAAGTCAACTCTCAGAACATACTTCTTTTCAATGTCATATTATTTGCCTTTAACAGGCACATTACACTTTACAATAAAAATTTTCTTTGTTTGCGTTGTTTATTTTATTTGAAGCTGGCGGGCTTCGTTTTTTCCCCTCATTGGGTTGTCGCAATGTCTACAATAATCAAATCATGACTCCAGCGTGGCGTTTGGGGTGAGTGGGGGAAATATGCATATCATAGGGCGTTTGTAATTGATAGCGTTTGATATGGATGGGGAGGACATGGAAAGTGATGACATGGATTGTGGATTGATGTTTCTTTTGTTATGGAATGAAGTTGATGAGTGGGAATGAGGGAAAGGAGACTGGGGATATGATTGGAGAGGGGGTGAAATGAAGTCTATGCATACCGAAAAGAAGAGGAGAATGGGTTAAATTGCTGCTACTGTTACATACACCCAGGCGGCTTATCAAAGGATGAGAAGAGTTTAACGGGGATAGATGATGGGAAGAACGAGGTTTGGTTTGGTTTGGATGAGAGTAATTCTCTTACTAGCTAGATAGACCAGTACCTGTCTGTCTTTTGGTACGGGTGCTTGGGAGAAGAGGAGCTCAAAGAAGGTTGATTGTGTCAGCTTAAGTATGTTGAATTTTGGAAGGAAGGGATGGTGGAAGTGAGAGAAGGAAGTGGTAGAGACGCAGAGGGGTGGGTGGGGTATGCATGAATAGACTGGGTGAAGTGGGTAGTTCAGAGATTTTAGTTTAATAGCCACATATGAGATACAAGGAATACATATGAGCATTGGCGTTAACAAGTATTTATTTGTGTTAAATTGTGATGTATTTTTGTGAGATTGAATGAGATGGGAAGTGAAGTGAAATGATATATGTTTAGAATGATTGATGGTGATGATGATGAATGTTGTGTTATAAATACTTGAGTGGAATTGTCACTGCAAGGTATTTGATTCTGATGTAAGATATAATTCATCATTTAAAGACAAACAAGGGTATCATTCGTTCTTTTTTATGTCTTTCCAATAATTACAAGTTCTCTTTACTGTAAAGGTATATAAAATGCTTCGCTGGAAGACATTAGAATAGGAACAAATCTATAACTCCCAAGTCCCTCATTGACCCTTTTTCTCTCCTTCTCTGGCCTTTTCCTCTTCGAAATGCTTCACTGTAATCTTAATACCCTCATCAAGCGGAACTAATGGTACGTATCCTAATCTTCTCCTCGCCTTTTCAATACTGAAATACCTAGTCATACAACTAAAGTTCACCTTCATCCTGGTCAAATTTGGGGTCTTTCCAAATAACCAGAACAATCCCTCAACAAATCCTGCAAGTCCTACACCAAAGTCCTTTCCAATTACCCATACATGTTCTGTGCCCTTTGTAGATCCGGCGGCTGCCCATACTGCCCTTGCCATATCCCAGAATGGAATAGGTGATCCATTGGTGATGAGGAATGCTTCACCATCTACTCGTTCGGTGTCTAATGGAGTTGTGTTGAGCTTAGATGTCGCAAGGAGAGCGGCAGCGCAAAGAAGATGTGCATGTGCAACATTCTTCACAAATGTGAAATCGAAGAGATTGGTATTATCACCGAGTTGGAATCCAGTACGATTGGTGTAGTGAACATTGAGGAGGGCGGGAATTAATTGAACATCTCCAGGACCAAAAATACCCGATGGACGAATGGAGGCAGTGAGAAGTTGCGGAGATTCTGGGGCCCTGTTTGCTGCTAAGACTATAGATTCTGCTTCGGCCTGTTCAATTCAATGAGTTAGTATTGTCAATTGAGCGAATAGTTGGTACAAATAAGCATAGAATTTTAAGAACAAACCTTCGTCCATGAATAATACTCTCGTTGTAATTTCTCAGGTATAACAGGCCACCTCTCATCCGCATTAACCAAATCAGTTGTATTATCAGAAATGATACTAGCACTACTTGTAAAAACTAAAGCTTTCACACCCGTCTTTTGACAAGCCTCGACTACACACTTCGTTCCTCCTACATTGACTTTATGGAATAATTCATTGGTTCCTGTAATTGCGACAGGAGATGCAGTGTGAATGACCACATCTGGCTTGATTGAGTTGAATATCGAAAGAAGAGATTCGAGAGAAGTTATATCGCCATCGTGGTAGGTAACATCTTGTGAAGAATGTCTATTTCGAGTTGTACGTAGATCGAGCACGGAAATGGTACAATTATATCGATCGTGGAGAAGAGAGACGATGTGATGGCCTAGAAAACCGCAGCCACCGATTACAAGGACGCGACCTAGAGGAGCTTTTTGTTGTGTAGACATTTTGGAAGTAATTGAGGTAAATAGGATCTGAAGGAGAGGAGGAGGAAAATGTGGAGATTCAAGGTGTTATTTGTTTACGGGGAAGAAATCCTGGGGATTTTCTGGTCGGGTCGGAAGAAAGTTTTCCCGTAATCATTCATCTATTTCCAAATTGGACTTTCTCTTCTTTATTCACATTTATCACGCATCAAGGTCGGAGTTCACTGTTACAAATGTCACATTAGTTATTTCGAGTACTGTGGTCGAATTCATGCCCGTTATTGAGTGATCCGACAGGCCCTGGACAGATGAAGCTTGATCGATACGGCAATTTCATTTAATTTCAAGTGCGAATATGAGCATTGAAGATAAAGCTGTCAATATGCCTTCAAACTTTGATAACATTACTATCGCGATGGCATTTTTATTTATCAATGCATTTGGTGTTGCGCTTTTGTTCTGATTTGCGAATTAGACCTCTAGCATATTTGGCTAGCTGGAGAGTTCTCAAACTTGTCATTTAAAGATAGTAATCTTACAATATTGCCAGTCACGGTGGTACGGATCTTTGTATAGAGGTTATAGCCAAGCTTCCATATGCTACAGCCACAGTTCAAGCACTACCAATCGTATTCACTAGATTCTTAATTTCTTGACGCTGTTCACAAGGAGCAAATTGAGAGCCGCGTGAAAACAAGACGATAAATTAGACGATAAAGCATCCAAGTAAAGCGATCGCGAAGCAATACGAATTTGCCGAACCAATACACACATTTTCCAAAATAAATACATCGTTGACAACAGACATTTTGACTTTCAAACTACATTGGCTTGTAGTCTTTCACGGGAGTCATTCCAACTCTTCGGGGTTTCCCATTCTGATCCTTCTTCAATTGATAAAACTTCCTGGTAGAGTCTATGTCACTCTGTTGAATCTGCGGGGGCCTCCGACCATAATTCATAACACTGAGCTCATTTCGTGGCCCCAATTGCTCAGCACCTCCTTCATACACGTCCATATTTGGGCCCATCGCGAACTCATGTCGCAATCCTAAAACATGGCCTAACTCATGCTCAAAAATACTAGACATGCTCTCCTTAACTCCTTCGCTAAAAGCTAGCGTATACACAAACACAAAGTTCAAATCATTGGCATTTGGAGAGAAGGCTGAAGCAGGCACGCCGTCTTGCTCTCCACCGTGACAAAGGACGAATGTGGCATCTTTGGCGAATTGAACCCACTCAAATGTGACACCAATATTAGCAGCGTTCCATGTTTCGGCTGCCACAGCAAATTTTTTAGCAGCATATTCGGCGTCTTCATTGCTGTCGAAGCCTTTACGCCATACTGCCCATCGGACGACAGATCCAGGCTACCAGCGTGGACACTCGCAGTTGAGGCCCATGGAGATAGCTGTAGGACCGCCTTGAAGAGCACGAGGAATGACCCTTTGAGTCAAGCATACTGGTGGTTTTTTGAATGAAGCTTTGGAACGGCCTCCAGGCCCTGGAATTTCAACATCTCTAGGTTCAATAGTTGCAAGAGCGTTTCCTCCGAGAACTTGCTCAGCTTCGTCAAGGAGAATCTCTTTTGTCGTGGGACCTTTAGCAGGCATAGTTGCGTTTGTTTTGAAAGAGGTACCGCACCAATTTGGAGGTAATGAAGCCAGATTAATAGACTATAAGTTGAAAAACTTAGGATGATGATGAATATTGATAGGGGGAATCTGTAGTGTCCGTCTTTGACTTGATCAAAAGATTATCTTGAGATGAAGGATATGTTGCATCCTTTTATAGACGAATGTTTCTGGATTCACCGGCCATAAATCGTCGATCTATTGATCTGCTTATGTAACTTATTCTTTTTCCAATATTCATCCCCTCATCAGCTCAGCCTCTACATCATTCCATCAAGAAGCTACCAAAGAAATTGGGTATGCTTTCCACGGGTATTGCTGATTCTGACGTCTAAAGTTTCGAATATGATGATGAAAATGAATCTGAAAAAATCCTACAACAAACCAAACTCCATATCAATCACAAATTTCATCCTATAACAAGCCGTCACCCACATACCAACTCCTTCTCGGCTCTGTGGGGTAAAGATATTTCTTAGCGCCAACCACATTCCTGAGCACAGCTGTGTCATCCCAATACTTAAGATCTCGATTTTCAAGCTGGCAAGTTCCAGTTCAGTAGATGCGGGGCCGTTGGATAAAGACAGTTTTGGATAGCGACAGAAGCTGAGCGCAGATTGGAGAATTAGCTTGAATATTTTGGTGTGTTTACTGGGAAATGGCCATGAGATGATGAGAAAGTCATTCATCTGGTGGTCATATCTCATAAGCCACTGTCGTCTCGGTATTCGGATTCATTGATGGCAACTTCAAATATTTGCAAGTGCGAATGAAACGAGAAGTTAAACAATTGGATAAAGTAACACAGCCTCGAATGTCTCAGTTTTTATAGACAGTGAGTTTCCGAAGCTTGGGTTGGATTTGGGCATTCATCCTCAACGTGCCACTTTCTATTAGAGAATGAAGCCTCAAAGTTAAACACGGATTTGAGCATCGGACTTCGAATGTCTGACTTTACCTTGCATACTGAAGCTCCAATGTTTGGATTAGATTAGATTGGATGACCGAGCCGTAATATTGATGTCGCTTCGAATTTTTGCATCCTACCATCTGAAATAATATCAGACCTTGAGTCTAATAAAACAATTCAATGCAAATTCGTGATATCGATGTGCCTATTATCTAATTACTAGAACATGCATACGAGAAGGTATTTTGCAGATAGGGTACTGGCTATCGTGCTAAGTCATATTTTACTCTGGCTATTTATGATCGGTAATGCACACAGTTTGACGCTATTGAGGACCTAGCGAGAGGGGGCGTAGGGGGTCTTGTCAGCTTCTTACCAGTATTCCAACTCTTGAATATGAAGTTGAATATACAAATGATTCTTTAGGCTGTACATGACATAATTGGCTATAGGCGACATTGAACCTGAATCTGAAGCTGTTGACCTCCTGGGATCTTGGCAGCATATGCATATATATTGCATGATGCATATAAGGAGCAAACAAAACTCAACTTTTAATTCATTCTTTCCTTTTTGGTATACTGTTTGTTTGCTTTCAATATTTTGATTTCAAAGCACTTTAATTCCGAAGGCTGAATACCTAACCTCATTCCTTCATTTTTTTGAATATATACTCGCAGCTTAACTGCTTAGCTAGAGAATCAATCAATTCAATCTGATGCTCTTTCTGGTCTCAAGAAACCCAATAGAAGCAGATGTTGAGAGTAACTTGTGCTATTTGATGAAGTCTAGTGAGGAATAATACTAGAATTCAAATTTACGATAGAGCTTAGTCGTATTTATTAAATACCTTCCTATAACGTGGTTTATCAGCAGTCCGCCCATATCACTAGTCCACCCACTTTTTGGCCATTTCCAGCTCTTCCACTTCAATACGCGTTTTATCAATAATTACTTATGGAAACTCATTCTAAAGAAGTACGAATTATCTTAACTATTGAAGCTATTAAACTTAACCCACAATTCTCAATTCGGAAAGTGGCAAACCCCTATAATATACCTCGATCTACTTTGAGGGATAGAATTAAAGGTTGTACTAATATGGCTGACTATCGATCAAAAGGTTATAATTTGACCAAATTAGAAGAGAAGATGCTTATTCAGTATATAATCGATATGGATGAGAGAGGGTTTGCATCTAAATTGAGTAATATAGAAGATATAGCGAATTATATCCTCGAATCGCAGAATGTGAAGAAAATTGGAAAGCTCTAGGCTCATCGCTTTGTGAAACAATATATAGAATTAAAGATATGTTTTAATTGTATTTATAATTTTCAAAAAGCTCTTTACGAAGATTCAGAGCTTATTTAAAGATGGTTTCGATTAATATCGAATATACAGGCCAAATATGATATTTTAAATTGCGATTTTTACAACTTCGATAAGATAGGCTTTATAATAGAACAAATATCATTATATATAGTAGTTATTAAAATTGATCGATATGAAAGAAGCAAAGCTATATAATTAAACAATAAGGAATAAATTATAACAATTATTTGTATTGATGGAGAAAGTCACAATATACCTTCGTTTTTGATAGTAAAAGGCGAATACCATCTTTCAAATTGATATACCGAAGGCGATTTACTATACGATTGATTTATTAAACCTATTATTAATGAATAAATAGATAATGAAACAAATCTTGAATAGATTAAGTACTTCAACAAGTATACTGAAAGTAGGAAAGTGAATAGGTATCGAATGCTAATGCTTGATGGGTATAAAAGTTATAAATCGCCAGTATTTCAGGAATACTACAAGGAACACGATATTATATTACTTAATTTACTACCTCATTTTTTGTATTTAACTCAATTACCCGATATCGATTGTTTTGATCCTTTAAAGCATTTGTATAATCGACAAATCGAGAACTTTATCAAAGCACATATCACTTATATTATCAAAATCGAATTCTTTCAAATCTTCAAAACTATATATATCGAAGCAATATCTATATCAAATGGTAAAGCTGGATTTTATGGGATTGGATTAATCCCATTTAATCCGGAAATTGTACTTTCAAAGCTAGATATTCGAACAAGAACTCTATCAAATAAATCAATATTAGTTGATCCTAATATATAGCAATCTCAAATACTTTATAATCCAATTGAAGCTTTTTCTTAATCTATTTTAGTGAAAATCATATTGCTTGATATCAAAAGAGTTCACCTACTCCAATATTTGAAACAATTGTAGTTTTAGTTAAAAGTATAAAGCTTTTAACTTATACGAATACACTTTTAGCTACTAAAGTTTATAATCTCTGCAAAGAAAATGAAGTATTTAGTAAACACCAGAGAGCTAGAAAAGCTTTAATACAAAAAAGAGAAGCATTTTCAATAGAAGATAAACATAATTTATTAGAATAAGAGAATGTAGAAGATCAAATACGATACAATATACAAATAGTAATTCTTCAACAAGAAGACAAGCTACTATACAATAATATAGCAAATGCAGTAGTACTTTACATAATACACAAACTTGTCAATTAGATCCAACATTAATTGATCTCTAGATTGTATATAATTTAATCCTAATTTATAGTGTTGTTGTAATTTTATTTTAATGGAATGTGGGTAATTGAGGTAAAAGTGTTCCGGTTACTGATATGTTCCGGTTACTGATAAACCACGTTAATGAATGAACATAAATAAACATAAATGAATTTCGCGCTACGAAATTATTATTCAGTCGACTTCTGAGCCGTAGAAAAGGCTTCCGCAACCCCATATCATTCCATAGAGATTTTCATTTCCCGTCTTCAATCCAATCCACCACCTCCGGCTCGTAAGATATATTCTCCACAAACCCCTCCCCATGAACTTTCTAATTCCTCGCTAATTAAGTTGTCAAACCCGCCGTGAATCCATGAATTACCAATTCATCACCCTCTAACCCGCTAATCCCCTAATCCTCTAACTCACTGACCAGCCTCAAACTCAACTCAAACTCATAATCATAATCACACTCCAATTGCTGAACAAATCAACCCTCCACTCCTCCACAAATCCCTTCTCCCCCCCCCTTCCTGGACTCATTTTATGCTTCACCACACCACTGACTAGCGCATCCCAATCTCCTATTGATTTTTCCACCAGCATCTTGTCACTTCAAGTTTTGCCGTTTGATAATGAGGGTTTTAGTTATAATTAATAATTCAATTTCGTTAATTATATAACTTAAGTAAACAAGTAGTCACATAACGACGAGTAAGCCCACTTCTTGTCTAGACGCTGTTGTTCTGTTGAAAGTTATGTTGATAAATCAGTCAGATATCCCAGGACGAGCTCTTCAATGCGCTAGTAAAACTAGATATTAGACTCTATATTCTAGCTAATTTCAACAGTGAGATTCATTGGTGTAATAATCCAAGAGACGAGTTTGATTTATCCCAGCAAAAGTCAAATATTGAACAAGGACTATTCTTTCCCAGCCTGAAGTCCAGAAAATGGACAAGATGTTGGAGCTTCCTTTTTTTCATCCATAGGCGCTTTTTCACTATTCCCCTCACCATCCCCCACAGACTTCTCCTCTCCATCAATAACCTGTTTCCCCTTCAAACAACCCTCCCTCTCAACCATAACCTCCTCCATCTGTTCCGCAAATTCATCACCATCCCTCACATACCATTTCGCAAAAAGATCATTCTGAATCCAAAGGACCTTCCCAATCGCCTTGACAATCGCAATTTTTTTCTCCATCCTAAGTTTTGGATGTGAGAGAACAGCCTCGAAAATTATATCTTGAACAAATGCAAGACAAACTCCTATGTGAACATACTCGACATGTAAAGGATGTTTACGACCGCGTCCTACGTGCATCATTCCGACTTTATCGAGGTATTCCCAGAATTCCATTTGGCTTGGATCTGAACAGAGTTTATGGAGATAACCTCTTAGGAACTGGAAGTTATTAGTTAGCTCAGTTGATCATCGAAGTACAGAAAGAAAAACTAACCATCTTTCGATGTAAAATCTGAGGACTATCTTCATCAGGCATCTCATCTAATGGACCCTCATAACTCGTGCTCCGAGTGCTAAAAGCACGTGATGTGATATCGTATTGGAGAAGTTTTCTATAGACGATATTCACGACGGCTGGTATGAGTTGTTTAATATATTTTGAACCATATGTAAGGGCTTCCATGTCTCCTATTTCGAGTTATTTCAGTATGTAGTCAGGAAGATTTGTATGTCGAGATAGACTAACGTGAACTAAAGTCAAGAAATGAGTGTAGATAATGAATTCGTGCTTCTAGATCCGTGTAAAGTTCTTTTCGATCAATATGTAATCTTGCTCTTGAAGCCATGATAATTTCTCCTGTTTTATGTGTATTCCTATGACTGATTTATGATAGCTGAGGACAGGTAAAATAAGTAGATTTAGAAATGTAGGGTAGATATCCTGGGGTAGCAGCAGAGTTCATATATCCTCGAAATTCATCACGTAGGATGATAGATATCAGCCCATTCTAAGCATTACGATTTCAATCAAAACGAGAATTTCATAATTTTAAGCATGCTGCCGTTAAATTATCTGACTATGTTGTCAGAGTGGTACGTTTTTTAACTTTGGATCAGATCATGAGGTGATGCTTAGGCGCCAATAGTGTTGATGGAGATTATCAGCCAATCATTGTGATTAGTAAATTATCTTCACGTGATATTCGGGAAACATTTGTGTTGCATATCTGAAAAGAGAGTGAAGTAAAAAGTTCGCTTGTGATTCATTTACCTCTCAGCCCTAATTCTCTATTCTGATCCTACCTTCACTCTCCACTATCCCGTGAAATATCCTCTGTATATTCAACTAATTAGTTTTCGCTCCTGACATCTTCAACGTATCTTTCATTTATTTTCTCAATTGATATACGTTTGATAACTTAGCTCTAGGTTTAGTTGTTTGGACAGTGATAGAAAGAGAACACGTTAGCGATATCATATACGATACTGGATTGGAGAATCCGAGCTAACTGTTCGATGTTGAAGTGAGCTACAGAGTGAGCTATAAACTAGTTTGATAGTTTGGTACCTATGATGGCATAGAATAGCTAGTTTGATATCATGGAATCACACTAGACATTAAGATCTATCATACTTCAGGTATGGACACAAATAGACTTCATGGTTCGACGAAACAAAGTCTTACCAGAAAACAATACCCACACAGTTCAAAAGTCTACTTAGTAATTCCATCTTTTGAATCAAATGCTCTATTCTATTTATTACCATACAAACTTATCGTTAATACCATATCTTAGATACCACCTCTCATCGGAATCCAGGCCATGACTTCGGGAGGATTCATGTCTTTCCTTTCGTATCCGTAACCTATGTAAGTCTTATATATAAGAGGCGTAGTTCACAACAGATATATACCTACCTATCCATGTTATGAAAACCAATATAAGATTATCTCAATAACACAAGCCTAGGTAACCTTACTACCTACTGCGTATACTCCTTTCGCTAAGCTTAAACCGTATCCATAAATGACCGAGTAACCTATCTTACCAAACCATCGGTATTTTTCCATGAACAAAGCCCTTTTATCTTACCAGGTACTCTACATTGTCCTGTAATAGACACCGGTACATATTAAAAGTATGCCTGTGAGTCGGTGAATGAGATGGTTGCTGCGCTTCTGTGGCGCGTTGTGATGTGAGGTTATATTTGGGATTGGAGGGGTAGATGCCAAGGTATTACCGTGTAGTATGTATATGCGGGATGGTCGTATTTTTCTATGCCTCAATTAGGTAGTACAAGTATGTGTGGAAAGGGATGATGCATCGGATTGATTAATTGATGAGATTGGGTGTATTGCTTATTTTTAAGGGGAGCGTCTGCTCTGCCCCGTGACCTCAGATTGATATCAGGGTTTCATGTCGACTTTCAGGATGGTGACGATGATTTACTTACAAGTCCCGTAGTTTATTATAGGTATCTAGCATATACTCATCTATCTTTCATTACCTAAGAAAACAAGATATACGGAGTACAGAGTAGGTATACGGTGAGGAATGGTTACATCGAGGCGCATTCGGATCGGATCTATCGAGGCTGATATCTTGTGCCACATAACCACTGATAATTAGCAAACATCCCATCTACTAGGTACATCTAAAATAAGGGGTCCGAGCAAACATCAATTCTCAAAATCAATTAATAGCCAATCATTTCACCAATATTAAGCGCCATTACCCGATCAAGATTAGTGGTACCTTAATTCATGTGCGATTCTTTCCCACTCAGCCATTGAACCTGCATAGCATGTAAGAGCGGGGAGATCTCTTCCGGTTGAGAAGATTTGAGGACTTCACTTCAATTGAGTGAGGTGAGGCTTGATCAAGATTTGGGCTGTGCTGTGTTGTGTGTGCATTTGATATTTGAATGTTATGATATCAATATCGAATCAATGTCAGAATGTTACACTAGTACTCTTGATTACACCTATACTACACCGAGAATATCTTCACATCTTCGTTGTACAACTGTTCAAATGCCAGATGAACTCCTACTGCTGATCATATGCAACACTTCTAATATCCATGTAAAGTATCATCCAATCTCAACCATGAACACATAAAGTAAGTAACGCCAAAGCTGTGCTGTGCCTTACCAAAGAGCACCCGAGAGACCTTTTTATATATTGACCACTTGTCTCATAAACCGTATTCATAACCTTTTCCGGCCTTTAGATTTCTCCTCTTGTCGATTTACTCATCTACTTACAATTAGATATTTCTTACGTTTTTCTTTGGGTAGATTTGTCCAACTGTTGGTTGATTTGTTTTAGATTGATAACCTAACGGCGTCTAATTCGATACACGGATACATTTATTTACATATGAATGACATTTCCCATACTTATTTATTAATAAGTTTTAGTTCTTTTTTTTTTCTTTTGGATATTCACTTTTGAGGAGATTGGAAGAGGATAGGAGGAAAAGAAAGAAAAACTTGCACTGCCTGATTTGATCAAGGTTGGTTAACCAGTTTACATTATCTCATAATTCACCTTCATATCCTCGGCACATCAAATTTATATCGACATACAACACTTTAGAGAAGTTATCTATGAAGTCATATACTTGTCAAGATATTTTCAACCTCAATTCTTCTTTCATCTCTTTAGCCATCGAGTTCAACTCAAGATTTAATTTTGATTCCCTCTTTTGATTTCTCCCCGTCTTCGTTTTGAGTTCCAGTCGATGCTCGGTTTGGGATTCGTTATTTGATATCTTCCTTCAATTAAGCCTCCTACCAATATCAAGTCATCAAAATGTATCTCAATGGAGACATTGGTACTTACAATCAATCTCTTGTCATAAGAGACTCTCGCGAATGTGCCAGTGGACAAGAATGGTATGTCTGCACTGCGAATAACTTTCGAGGTTGTTGTTCTGTAAATGCATGTACAGTTTCAGAATGTCCAGATTCAAGTACCGCTGCAGTTGGCGCATCGAGTTATTCTACAACTTCTTCTGAATCTATCTCTTCAACTTCACCATCAATCACTTCCTCTGCTACTACATTAACCACCTACTCTACTATTACATCGTCTCCAATCATCGCATCCTCACAAGTTACATTACAGACACCAAAACCTAGCACCATCCTCTTAACCACAACAATCAGTAACTCAATCATTACAACCCAGACTTCATCAAGCTCTACCACCATCCTAGCGGATTCAACAGTTCACCCTTCATCAAACTCAACATCCATCATAGCTGGAGCCATCGTTGGCAGTATCGCTCTAATTTGTTTCGTCATGGCCGCATTTTGTTGTTTCCGGTTCCGACAAAAGAAAAAGCAAGATAGAGAGAGGATGTTTGCAGAACCAGAAAGTCCAGATCCTGAGACTATTCAATTTTATACTACGACGGGAAAGACATTACAAACTCCTAGTAGTACGAGGACGAGTAGAGACCCGAATGGAGGATTTTCTGGGTTGGGAGGATTGGGATTGGGAGATGTTTTTGCGTCGTTTGGTGGAAGTAAGTTTTTGATTTTTTTATATCTTCTTTTTCCCGTGATATTTGGGTAATGTCAAAATCGAACTAATCGGCTCCCAAAACTAGGAACCCGAAGCAACAGTACATCACCACCCTCAACATCACCACCAGGAGGTCCTTCAATGACCGAATCTCAAATTTCTCCCCCAATCCACCTAATGCATCCAATGCCTACAGTTCATCCCACTCCCATCCCCGAATCACCAGAAGATCACGAAAACGACAAACCACTTCCTTCCGACCCTGAAAAATCATCTCTAACACCACCTCCTGAGTTCTTACATCCAGCTTTCCATGTTCTACCTGGAACTAGTTCACAACCTGCATATCGACCTGGATTAGATTTTACGATTAATGAGTTGGATGGTCGAGAGATAGGTAGGGGAAGTGGTTCAATTGGAGCAAGAAGTGAAGGGATGAGTATGACTGGAAGTGAGGGAATTGTTAGTCCATTGAGTACGCTTAATATGAGTGCGAGGGTTAGTTCGAATGGATTTAGTACGATGAGTACACCTCCGTTTAATTTGAGTGTTCCGGTTACCTCGATGAATAGTCCTCTCGGATATGTACATGAACATTGTTATGGACAAGGCCAAGGTCAAGGCAATTCACACTCAAACGTATCACCTGACAATCTCCCACCCAATGGCCCTGCATCAATCCGATCTCGATTCAGCACGCATTGGTATCACCAGCGCAACAACAGCCACTCAAATTCAAATTCGGATTCGGATTCACCGATTCACTATCCAATCCATCACCAACAACCACAAACCCATCCGCACACCCATCCACACACACAACTACAAACACAGCCACAATCACAGCCACAATACGCCCAACAATTAGCCCAAGCCCGTCGCATCCCAAAAAAAATAATCCAAAAGGCCACAGGCAATATTCCAAGCCCAACAGCAATCATACTCTCCCACATAAAACCCCATCACCAC